TGGTGCTTTATACTTCTTTTCCACAACATTTTGCAAGCCAATATTTTACTCTTTCATTTACATGACAGCTTTAGCTACAAATATTAAATAAACTAATACATAAACATTGATAAACTGTGATGAACACATTACCATATTTATAAGTATTACCCAGTGATTTAATAGATATGATTCTGAAACAGGTTATTACTATTAACAACTACTTTTACTTTTATATATTTTTTATATTGATGTCAATCATTTTGTACTTTTACTTAAGTAAGATTTTAAATGCAGGACTTTATAGTGTTTTAACATGTTGGTGTTTGTTCTTCCACCGCTAGGTATGGTCATCTGTTATTTAGAACAGCCAAATCATTCCCATTATCATAAAAAGGATATCTGGCGTCTTGTAGGATTTTCAGAAGACTTTGGCACCAACGTCCATTAAATAATGACATGAATTCTGTTGTCAGAGGTCAAGTTCATAATATATGTTTTTATACACTAAATATGACAAGTCCACTAACATGTCTGAATTGATGAAGTGGTGACATGTCAATCAGATGTGGAGGGAATTTGGCAAGGCAGTAAATTCGTTTTAATTTAATTTCAATGTCTAGCTAATCTTCTGCTTTTCAGTGTTGGTTGATTAACTTACTGTACAGGAAGCTGTTGACATTTATTTTTGAAAAAAACTGTGATAGGATTTTTGACAGACAGTGATAGGGGATTGGACTGAAGAGAGGGTCAGAAAAAAGAACAACAGAGGGAGTAGCACAACAGAAAGGGAGGACAGGGTTGGGGTGCAGTCAGAGAGAAACGCTAACAACAGTGACTAGATTTCCCCAGCTATCCCTGAGAGTTTATCCTGATTGTCTTGTTGTCTGTTCTCTGAAGCATGTACCTGAGCTAAAGAGACTCACTTAGACAAAGAGAGGAGCACGGGGGACAGAGGGACTCAGCACAAATATACATCAAGCTGGGGAGGAGAGGGAGAGGAGTAAGGGGGAGGCAGAGGACAGGCTGTGTTGTAAAAAGTGCAGGGTGTCTGGTCCCATGATGCAATTGTTGCAAGGACATAATCATTATTTAATATCTCTCAATTTATCCATTGCTACTTTGTGAAAAACCCACCCTTGTCTTTTAAAAATAGATGATATAATATAATATAAAAAGTCAAAATGTTACTATTGTATTATATATATATGAGCCATGTCCAGTATTAAACAGGTGTTGAAAAATGTCCTATACAACCATATCTTTTTTAAAGAGGACCTATTTTGGGGGTTTTCCCTTTCTGGCAGTATTTTATACAGGTTTTTGTGCATCTAAAGTATATGTTCATTTTGTAACATCATTAATGCAGAGTTTGATTGACAAAAATAAAGAGAAAGTGAATTCAATTCAATGTGAATGCAAGGTTTGTCTGCGTCTAAAAGTAGACGCAGACAAACCTTTCTACACCTACGTCAGTTGTCAAAATATTGGTCAAAGGCTTGTTATTCTAAGTGCCAGCTAAGATCACATTTTTCACATTACGCTGTTATCCAAAGGAATCTCGAATGAATTGGAATCAGTTGCCTCAGTATGGGCAACCTGCCAAAAAAAAAAGCACTGTGGCTGAGAAGAATAGCCAGACTTGAATCCTTTTCTCTGCTATCAATGCCAAAGATGGTACGTCTACCTTTATACATTACTCCAGTGGTTCCCAAACTTTTTGTGCCCAAGGCACACCAAAGGACAAGTAAAAATCTCAAGGCACACCTATTGTGCAAAATAGCCCTTATAACACGTGTTATCACTCATATCATGTAAAATATCTGTAAATGTGCATAATTATTTACTAATGCCAAATAAAATGTGACAAAGACAACTATATTACTCATGAAATATTTATTAACGAAATATTTCAGAAATTAATTTGAAACTTTATCAAATTAGGCTTCATCAAAGCAGCAACACACTCATTTAAACTAGACAGGTCACAACATTAAAAATGAGGCAAAGGAAACTCAGCAGAAATTCAGCACAGAGAACTGTCAATGCAAGGAAGCTGCATTGTCCATGGTCCTGAACTACAAATTATAAATGTAACATTTCAGCAATCAGCATTGAAACATTTGCTATTGTAAATATTTTGCCGACTTACAAATTAGTGAGATACATGTGCATGTCGGGGCGCGCAGAATGTTTTAATCCTTGGTGGCACTGAGGAGAGGGTCACTCGCAAGTCCTGTTCAACAGAGAGCCGTGACCTCCTGTTGTTCTTCATGTAAACCAGAGTAGAGAACGCCAACTCCAGAGATGGGGTCGTTACTAAAAAAATGTAATATATTACATATTACTTAAAAAAATATATATATATATTACACTACTTTGTTACTATCTACATAAAGTAACTCGTTACTTTACTCGCCGAGCACGTACGACCTGCGCATGCGTGAGTGGCAATAACTTTCCTTACCAGCAGGCGGCGGTAGTGTGTATTTGTCATTCAAAACAGGCAACAACCGGAAGACAGAGAAGAAGAACAGACTACGTGATATAAACAAACAACAAATAGCTGTGCGGTAGCTTCACCTTAGCATGTGTTCTTTGCAGGTGCTTGTTTGTCACAAAATCCCACGGCACACCCGGACTTGCCTCACGGCACACCAGTGTACCGCGGCACACCGTTTGGGAACCACTGCATTACTCCATTTCCCTCCTTATCATTCCCACATGCTGTTATTTTAAGTCTTCCTGGATTAGTGAGATATGAATGTGTAGCCAGCCAGACTCTCTATCCAAGATATTAAGAGGCTCTGTCTTGGCTTCCTATCACCAAATCACTCACTCTGCTCTTGGTGCTTTTACACTAAGTCGTTCTGGATAAGTGTCACATTAATGTCGACAATGAAAAGACACCTGCATTTAAGGAAATCGATGGTAACCCACCAGAAGGTATGTGCATTGTTATCCTTCTGAGATAGAGCGTTGAAGAGTGTAATCCCTAAACTACAAGTCAATGTCTCAGTGAGTAGAATGATGCGAAAACATTACTAGATAGTCATGTTGTCTGTCTTGTGGCCTGTGGACAAGTAGTCACTCTGGATCAGGTATCTAAACCTGCAGGGAGAACTTCAACTGCCTCGGATTAAGCAACAATTTGAACTAGCAGAGCGATGTCCCTGCTTCCTTTTGAGGGAGGTAGGACTCAGCAGACATTGCCCCATCCTAATCTTGACTGGTGGTGATTGTCAGCTTCAGCCATCACAATGTAATCCTACAATTCAGAACTAGCGGGTCATTGCTGGAGTCACCACTAATCCACTTGCAGTCGCAAAGGTAACAGTGGTGAAAACACTCCTAATGTCCAATAGCAGAGAGTCCAAGGGATACTTGATGTGGCCCAGGGCAGGTCCATCACAACGAGGAGATACAGGCAGTATTGCAGGATTACTAAAAGCCATCCAAGATGGAATCCTGGGAGAATGGGGATAAAGAACTGGGAAATATGGCCAGCTTTTTTAAGAGATGTTGTAGAGGTGTCCAAAGATAATCGGTCAATATGTTGTCAGCTGTCGTTTTTTTCTTTCGTTTTTGCAATTTTACTTACAAGAAGAGACTAATTACATTGTCTTTACAAGAGGAAAGAGTCCTCTCATTGTAAAGATTGTGAATTATCTAGGTACTTCATGATCTCAGCTGTAGTAATCTTGCACTGTTGATCAAAATAAATGACTCCACCAATCATTTTGGGTCACGCAAACACAACATACCACTAAAGGGCTGCCAAATCTTTCCAACAAAAATCCCATGGTCCAAATTTGAGAGATGGAATTGGCAATCTAATCAGCTGTAGTACCGATTCTACAAGCATGATCAGTCAATTCATAGAGACTGATTACATCTTCTAAGAATCAATCTGTAGACACCAACAGAGTTACACACACCACTCACCAACAAAATGATACTCAGGCTGAAGCCAACTTCTAGCATTGTTATTCTCTGGATTCAGTCCAGTGGGCTTCACTGGCAGGCGAGCACATACTTACTGTGGATAGAGTTGTGATTAAAGAATGAAGAGTATCTCTACGGTTCTTTATCACTCTGCCTATTTCTCTCCTTGTCCTTTCTCTCTTTCACGTTCACTCACTCCTCATGTCCTTATCCTCTCCTTTTGATCCTTGTTAACATTCTATAATAACAATATTAACACATACCTTTTTTGGGTAGTGTCAATTCTGCTCATTATATTTATGTTATACATTTGTTTTAATTAGTCTTTTATCATAATGAGAAAGTGTTAATTGATGAAAGTATGATGCAAAATGCTGTGTAATACAGAACAACTCAGTGAACTGTTCACTGATGTATTTCATTCGTTTGTTGCCACACTTTTTGCAGAGTATATGCTTGCAGCTCATACAGCAGTACAACAGATGTATGGTTATATTCAGGCATTCAAAGAAACTTGGTGTAAGTTTAATACAGACATATTGTACAGCACCTCCCATAAACATTGCTATCATTCAATGGAAACTAAATGATTTCCCTAAATTTAAACAAAGTGCATTTGTTAACTTATCCTAAACACACATTGACCACCACCCAACAGCTTTACATAACTCTAGCGCTTCATTCCTGTTAGTATATTTAAGGTAATGGTTATCATTGGGAAAACAAATTGTTCTTATACAAGCATAACCCCTTGGGGAAAGTGTTAAGTTAATTAGCTGATTGTTTATGATTCTTTCCTACTGTATCTTTATTGTCTTTCATTTGAATGTTGAAGCAGACGTTACCTTCTGCCTCAGTGCTGCGTTGGCACCACTCGGTTGTATAGGAACGTTAGTCACAGACGGAATGTCCAGTACATTTGGCCGCTACCAATCTCAATTCAAATGGAATCAGGGACAGACTTGTTTACCCTGGATAAGGGAACCTACTGTACATGTGGTGTTGTTGTTGTTGTTGTTGTTGTTGTTGTTGTTGTAGTACTACCTTCTTCTTCTCCCCTCTCTTTATTCCTACAGTGGTGGCACTCTACTGACAGTGAGCGGGACCAACCTTGCAACCATCCGAGAACCAAAAATCAGGGCCAAGTATGGGCAGGCAGAATCCTTTCATGTGAGTATTGATGTGTGACACACACACACACACACACACACACACACACACACACACACACACACACACACACACACACACACACACACACACACACACACACACAGACTAACATTAACAGGCAGCCCAGTGTACGTAGAGCAAATATAAATTCACAAAGGCACCCTGGCAGTAGATACATACTACATTATTCATCTGTACGCATACAGTACATACATCAACTGACACATATATGCAGGCATACCCCTCCGCCTACACAACATGATCTACAGACAACTTATTCTACTGTGCCACTAAAGGTGGCAGACACACTGTCTGTGTGAGTCTGCTCCCTGTACAGATACAGCTTCAGACAGCTAACGCTACCTCAGGCCACATAGCTTTTCAAATGTCAGCGCACCACATGAGTGTTTGTGTCACTGAAAGAAAGAGACAACATGAGAGGGACTGTGTGCGTGAGTGAAGGAGAGACAGATGGAGATGCTTGGGGAATAAAGATGAGAAACCAATTCAGTGTCTCATCTGAAAAGTTGAAGAGCTTCGTCAATTCTATAGATTCTCAAAGCACTTTAGTGATTGACATTGAGAGTTTAAAGCTCTTATAGTTGTCAAGGTTGAACACTTCAAATCAAACTGAGGCACTCCAACCTGTTTGCGAGGCAAACAGAATGCATCCCACACAGCCCTCTATCAAAGTGCTACTTAAAGGACCATGTTTTTAATGCTGTCGCCAATTTAATACAAACCACGAATACTGAAATGACAGCCTTTTTCCAAAGCATATCGGGTTTCCCACACATAGACTTTACTTGGGCGGGCCACCCAGGTATATTAACGTACAATATTCCGCGACCCATTTAGGTTTAATTTTTTTTTAGCACGACGCCATCTGCGATCGATTAACTAGTGGACAATGAACCCTCGCTCTACCCCTGCTGTACCTGTTCGCTCTGCTGTCGCGTGAAGGGTCTGCTTTATGCGCTCCGCAGTAACTCCGCTGCAAGGCTCCGGCGAACAGTTCACCCACTAGCACCCCCCACCCCCCCCCCCCCCATCCTCAGCAACCACCACAGGTATCCACAAGTATTTCAGATCTGTGGGAAACGCTGCATATACTATGGTGTTTTTACATTTTGTATTACATTTGCTTCCCTTCCAAACAGCATTTACTTTTTCATTTCATAACTGCGTGACAGCCAACGTAAGATAAGAATCAATGACAATTAACCTCATGTCCACTTTACACAATCATTTGTCAAAAGTGGTATTACTGCATTGTATGGCAATGCAATTGGACGTGGGGTTAGATTTGAAATCTCTGTGATCCCTGTGACTAGCTTTGAAAAATTGCACTCCTTTTGCAATAAAACATGAAAGCAATTTATTTAATATTTACATGTTTTTATTGTGTTTAGACGCATGTTAGCTTAATATCTTTTCATTTGCTGAATTTGTTTATATACATATGGAGTTGTACTTAAAGGGGCCCTGATATGTTAATCTTCTGGTATGTGTATTTTGTGTATCTACTGTGAAATGCCTACATGATTTAATGGTCAAAGGGGAGTGTAAGGGAGAGAAATTATACTATGCTATAATATATTATACTATAACTAGCTATACTATACATATTATACTATTTCACCCATTATACTATTTAACCCACTACAAGAAGGGAAAGGGGAAACACCTGAAAAACGAAATAGGGCCTCTTCAAATCCTTATTTATTCATACACCTTTTGTATTTACTAGTAAATGGTCTACTTCCTATAAATTGAAGCAAACATGGCCATGACATCTTGTATTCATGTATTCTCCAAAGCAATAATGTTAAATATCCTCCAGTACAAGCAAAGGAACACAGGCCATTGTCCATTATTAACAGTTGATCATACATTTGCAACCAATTTACATTTCCAATAGGCATAACAGCACTGCAGCTACACGGGGCATTGACAGAAGGGATGGTTCATTATACCCGGAAGATCTGTTTTTAAATAAACGGATAGCCTGCAGGTTATTCTAACTATTTATAAAGAAGGCCAGGCTACCTGTTTTATAGAAGACATCCTCCTGTCAAGAACACTTTAACTAGAATAGTATAAAAACGAGTGCATTTAGGTTTCGGTGCACATTCATTGTACATATATCTTCACAGAGAGAAGACGTCTTTTATGAGGTCTAAGGTCTTTCTTGTTTCCCCATTTTCAGAACTGTACGGTGTATAATAACTCCGTCATGGTGTGCCTGGCTCCGTCGGTAGCTGATTCTGAGCTGGGCTTCTCCGACTCCGGCACAGGCCCGGATGAGATTGGCTTCTACATGGACAACGTGAAGGCTCTGGTGGTGGTCAACGAGACGTTCAGCTACTACCCTGACCCCGTGTTCGAGCCGCTCAGCCCCTCAGGGATACTGGAGCTCAAACCAACGTCGCCGCTCATTCTCAAGGTCAGAAAAGCACTGTTGTTTTCCAGATATTACTTGCATGCATGAACATTTCATTTTTTTTTTACCTTGAAGTGGTAACGTTAGCAATATAAATATTGAAAAACAGGTGTATATTGAACATGACCAGTGGTATTACTTTAGACAGCGCATGCAGTATGAACAAGGGAATCGCCACCCTAACAAAAATGTCAAATGTTCCTGTATACAATTAATCAGATTTAGTTTAATTAAAGGTGGGGTAGGTAAGTTTGAGAAATCGGAATGTCAAATGTCCCAGACAGAAAGTCAACATCATCTTCAGTCTATACATACATAAGACATCTAAACAACAAAGCAACAGGTAGTGGAGCAAAGTAGGTTTAGTGTACTTATCATATTATAAGTATAAAAGGTATGGGGGATGGGGAATAATCGATACGTTTAGCAAATGTAACCATAACGATGGTTTTCTAAACTTCCCTTAATCCCATAAAGAGTCAAAACAGAGCTGCTAACAATGCCCAAACTGTATGTTGTGTTTTTAGAAAGATTGCTTTGCAGAACAAAACTTCAAAAGAGAGCACTTTTCTTACAATAAGATCATTTTACTTACAATAAGAAAAATGCACATAACCACCACCATATCAAAAAGTTTGTTAAAATGATTTTGTACCCACTTGTACACTTTATACACACATTGCGATTACATTATTCAAACCTGAGTCTCAGGTGGTAGGTTTCTCTTCTTTCACTCGGCTGCTAAAGTCCCAAACATATTGACCTTATCTTGTATTAATAATGGCAAAGCCTTCATACACCGACACGTACAAACACACAAACACTGGTATATCTTTCCAAATGTGTTTCCAAGGTCTTTTGGAGAGGAGGACAAAAATCTCACAAATGTTTCATTTAAAGCTGAAAGCAAACGTCCACACTTTCCAAGGCCCATTTATTTCCTTCAGTTACTAACAGCAACTTCTTTCACTAACGTCCTTCTCTGCAGCCTCGAGCCCTCTTAAATAACAGTCTTTTCAATTTGTGTAATTATTTTCTGGTGCTGGAAGGGCAGTGTTGAAGCACGCAGTCCCAAGATGTAGGACATTTGAATTATTTTCGTTTTTATGTCTATAAACAGTAATTGGATTTAAGTATATGAAATTAATTGCCAGTTTTTATCCTACAAAACTCACCGGAAATATGTATTCTAAGAGTTATTGGAGAGAAATTAAAGTGGCTACAGTATGCATGCTATTACTCATGTTGAATTAACTGAAATAACCAGCAGATCAGTGTCTGCAAACAATCGATGGGTTAGTCAAGAGGGTTTTTCTGGCCCAGGGGCCCAAAATGTCATGGCCCCCCCTGACCTTCACCTTTAAAATGTCAAAGAGATGAGTGCAAACCATGAGACTTAGAGAGGACCAGAAACAGATACAGACTATAAAGAGACACACAACCACTACAGAGCTGGAAAAACACCACAAAGAGACCAAAGCAACTACGAAGACATTCAAAATGGCTGCAAAGAGACCACAATCAGACATATGACAAGAGATTCGAAAAAGACTACAAGTGAAGGAAAACAACTACAAAGACACACAAAACAGTTGCAAATACAAACAAAGAGACTACAATTGGAATCACAAAAACGGTGAAAACAGACGAAACAACCACAAACTACAAAGACAACATAGAGACCCTAAAAGATTTAAAGAAAAGCAACAAAAAGATGTAAAACAGCTGTAAAGGGACACAGAGCGCAAAATGAGACTCATGATGACTGAAAGGGAGATAACAACCACAAAGAGACATATAATGACTACAGAGAGACTCAAAGTACTCTAACGGGGGGGAAATAAACTACAAAGAGACACAAAGTACTACAATGGGGGGGAAATAAACTACAAAGAGACACAAAAACAACCATTAATAGACACAAAATTACTACAAAAAAGAATACAAATAGACAGAAAAAGCTGCATTACCACAAAATGAGACTAACAAAGACTATGACCCGAGATAAAACAACCACAGAGAGACACAAAGCAACTACAAACAGACACACACCATGTGTTTCCTGCTTTAACAGAAGAGCCACTGGGGTCTTTTTGCAGGTCTGAGCACAGGGGCCCATTGTCTCCTAATCCAACCATGACATATAAATACTAGCATTAACTATTGACACAACATCGTTAGTCCTGAAAAACAAATGTTCTTTATTTGAGATATTGGACAATAATTGTCATTTATTTGAGATTAGTGTCACATTGATGTCCTATATTTAATCCAGCGTTCAGTGCTTTTATCTTCTGCAAGAATTCGCCTTGACTATCTCTCATGTTATCACAGAGAGAGTCTGCTACGCCGTTTATTTCCATGAAGAGATCGAAAGCGGCATAACCGACGTAATTTATTTCTTAAACGATAATCTATTAGCGAAGAGCCTCTCAGTAATTTCCAAATCTCCTGCTTGGCTTGCCAGTGGAACTGCCTACCCATTGGAAGCAGTGATGAGATGGACAAAAATGCAATTTGGCAGCGTGTGATGCTGGGAAGGGGGAGGGGAGGGTTGCATTTCTCAGAGATGCGTGCACTGCGCTCGCCACGCAATTAATTTCTCATCTGAAGTGTCGGCTGTGTTGTTACCGAGGTGTGTTAGCAGGAGAGAAAACATTTATCTGGTCTTGGTGTTCCGGGAGTGCTTTTGCCGTGTGTGTTTGTGAGAGTGTGTCCCCGGCGCGTGATGCTTCTTTCCTGGACTGTGTGTGTGTGGCAACAGCTCCGTGTGTGGCTTCAACTGGAGTGCATGCGTGGCTTGAACTCTGCATGTGTGTGTTGGTGTGTGTGTGTGTGTGTGAGATGGGATGCATGTTTACAGGGCTGCAGAGCGGGCTGGCGGCCTGCAGAGACGATGGATTGGAAAACGGAGTCTGTCTCTGCGTCCCACTGCTGAGCCAGCGGGAGGGCCTGGCAGCTCTCTCCCCCCTCTCAGTCTATCTTGCTAGCTCCCCAGCTCTGGTTTTTTTCTGCTCATTCCCATTTTCTTTTCTCACTTTGGAGTATGGTCCTTTCATCTTTTCCTCCCTCCTCTCATAATCGTTTCTCTGCTCTCCTGATGTTTTCCATCTTGTTTTCTTTGTATTCAACTTTTCCCCTGTTGCTTTTTGTTTTCTTTCTATTTTCTGAGTCTCCCCTTTTCACACCAATCCCCCCGCCCCCTTCCATAACAGACAAACTGTGTGTCGAATTGGAACTTGATATGGAAATGAAAAACTGGAACAGAATATTGACAAATGTTTACAATTACACACCACCGGTACAGACTTCAGTGGACTAGAGTTTTTGTGACTTCCAACTGCCTCTATATTAAATGCAAGCATGGGGACACTTATTCTACCTTCAGTTTCATTTCTTACTCTCCTTCTCCAGCTGGCTTGAGGACTCATTATGGGTTTAAACTACAAAACAAAATAACAATATTTGTCTTAGAGTACAGACATTCATGAATCAAACATACAAAAGATGAAGAAGAACATTGTATCAGTAATTCTACAGTTGCAAGTAAACAATTGATGATTGAAAAGTAGTAAACAAAATTGATATACTGTATAAGACAACATCTATATGTGTTTGTATCCATAGCCATAGTGCTTCATTTCCTTTGGTAGTTTGATATGAAACCTTTCAGCCATTTGACTTTCTCTGTACATCTAGTAAAGGTTGCTGCCATAGTTAATATTTGCAACATTAAAAGTTCTTAAGGTTAATTTACTTTGCATCAAGCATTTTCCTGGCTGTTAGACTTTAGTTGTACATCTTCGAATAAATCGTCCACACCAATATTAGCCAATGGGTACATCATGGCATAACATTTTTAAACGTACTCAATAAGACCTTGTTTCGTGTCTTTTGTGGTCAATAAAGTTAGTAGTATGACAAAAATAAGTAAAAGGTTGCGACGTAGCGCCAGCACATAATGCTTGAGCCCTTTTTCCATATTGCATTCAAAGCTCGTCATTTACTATGATGATCACACAGCAGTGACGTGCGGTGAGGTTCATGGCTGGTGAGGCACTGACTCTATCAGTCAGATTTACAAATATTATTATATTTTGACTAGGGCTGTCAGTCGATTAAAATATTTAATCGCGATTAATCGCATGATGTCCATAGTTAATCGTGATTAATCGCAAATTATTCGCACATTTGTTATCTGTTCTAAATGTACCTTAGAGGGATATTTTTCAGGTTTTTAATACTCTTATCAACATATGAGTGGACAAATATGCTTTATGCAAATGTTTGTTTGGAACAATGACAAATATTCTCCTGAATATTTTCAATACAATAACCTGGACCCTCTCTCTCTCTCTTACCCAACCCTGTGTACTTCTTTGCACTGAGCCAGTTGCTCAAACAGACAAGCTTGTTTACAGTTGTCGGCGAAATGCCGCTCCTCTGTCTTCATCTTCAGTCAAAGCATGTCAAGTAGTGTTGACGGCCGGCTCGGTTCGCTGACGGACGGCACCGCCCTTACTTTATTATGTTTTTAAATGACCTCATCGAGGTTGCGCCGACAGAGGCCCGCCGTTTCCCCGCAGCGAGGCTTCGCCCCCGTTGACAGTTCACTAGCACCCCCCCCCTCTCCCACCATCCAACTAACAACAACAACGTCAAGCCTTTGGGATCTGAAACTACGGGGCGTTAACGCGTTAAATTGCATTAGCGCGTTAACTTGACAGCCCAAATTTTGATCTTAATCGAAATATTCGGTTATTTTCAAAAGCTTTTTTAGTCTGACGCTTCGATTAATTTTAAACAGACCATTCAACAAAAGGATACCCACAAAATGTAGTTCCATTTAAATATTGGATTGTTCTCTAGTAAGATCCCATTTTCAATAAAATGGTGGACTTACCTTGACTTGAAGATGAAGTCCATGCGCCTATCCTTCTGGACAAAAACCTCTAATACTTTGTTGTAAAAGTCCTCCTTATCTTCCTGTAGTTCAAAACTCTAGCTTGTTGTTTGCGTCTACCGTCTCTGCGTCGAATAACAGTAGCAACAATAACCTGTGGGCTCACGTGCGCCCCCTCCAGTGCGGCAGATTACTGTCTGCCTCACCTTGAGTCTGTTTACTGTGCTTTTATGTCACATCAGCAAGACTAAATATCTCAAACAGAGACACACATACATTACATACATTAGCTAGACTATGGAAAGTCAGCAGGACGCATATTAAAGTCTCTGTAAACATTATATTGGCGACATACAGAGTGATAGCAACAGGCACGCGCCAAATGTATGCGCTCAACGTGGTTTCGAGGGATTACGCAATCCGAGGTGAGTTGTCGCTGCCTCAACTCCCATCTCTCATCGTATGGGAACTGAAAATACGCCATTTCAGCTATTTTTACTAATATGATCAAAATTAATGGAATCAAACAGAACATACATTTATAGCACAGACCAGTGGAGAAATATTAATATTTATTTCATTTTATTGTTATTTGTATTTTTTACTTTTCATGAGGAGGGCACTGCCACACCTGCCTCCCCTGGCCGCACGTCCCTGACACACAGTATATTTGCTTGAATGAGTTGAATGCCTCTCCTCACCACATCTCTCTCCGTCTGTCTTCAGGGTCGAAACCTCATCCCCTCGGCTCCGGGGAACAGTCGCCTGAACTACACGGTGCTGATCGGAGAGACTCCCTGCATCCTCACCCTGTCTGAGAGCCAGCTGCTGTGTGAGTGGCCCAACCTCACCGGACAACACAAAGTCACGGTGAGTCACGCTCCTCTGGTGCTCTGCCTCTATCAGGCACATCCTCATCTGACGTCACTTCCTGAAATGATTCCGTGCCATTTTGGACCAGAATGCCTCGAATTGATTATCCGAAAGAGACCTTGCTCCAAATTATGGGCTGAGACCTTCATGCTAGACTTCTTTCTTAATCCATTGTTCTTTCTTATTCATTAAACAACTGGGTCAGGTTTTAGTATGCCAGATTAATTCCAAAAAGCAGTTTATAAAAGGACCAAAAATACCACCTGCTCTACTTGTTATGTGCACACTGACACAGTAATTCATGTTTACGAAGATAAAAACACGGCCACCTGACAATCTCAGCCCATAATGTCACTCTAACCTTGTTTATGAGTTATGTGAATAACCCTTTCTAAACAATTTCCTCTTGACAGATTCAGCATACGCTTCATTGCGCTTGCACACCAAGGCTGCTGTTAAATATTTAACGCTTAATTAACATGTTGATCTTCATTGGCCTTCAGATAGCCTGTTGCTAAAGTGGAAGTTTCAGGAGGTAGACCCCTGATGAATACCAATGACGGTACATTCAAATACAAAGCACAGATATGCAAAGTTAAGTGCTTAAGAGTTACATTCGCTAAGGGTGTTAACATCCCAACTCACAGGGAAATCACTTTTTCACATAACGTGTTGAAACAGGAACACAGTGAACGTTTGCCAATTGAAAACCATGGTTGTGGTCGAATTGTCAAAACAATACATTTTCCTAACACTTTTTCTTCACCTCAGTGAAAACATGTCTTGGAGTTAAGGAGGACAATTGCTACTCAATGTATAAGCACATCTAGATACTTCCCCCATGCGCTCTTATCATGTTTTGTGTTGTTCCATGCAGGTTTCATAAACAAGGAAAACATAAAAAAATGCTTTTTACTTTATAACCAAGGTTTAAATTAAAATCAGAAATGAAAGAGAAACTAATGGTTGCTCACGCTCTTTCCTACACTCATGTCCACACTCTATTTATCGACATGAATGGTAATATGATTGTATTGCAATTTGAATGAAAAATACTTTATGCAATATATGCATTACTCTTTTGGCCTACATATGGTTTAGCGTGCATAGCACCATTCAAACATGTTGCATTAAACAATATCACTTAAGAACCCCCACACAACTCAGTGAAATGTTGACTTTATTTTATGATTTACAGTTATTAATATATCGTTCAGAGTTTTCCTTTTGGTTTAACAAATTGTTAAAAGTTCAACTCATATGGCAAGCTATGGCTGAAAATGCACAGTAACAATGTGTGTCGCTCACGATGGGTTGTATCTGTCAACAACGGAATGGTGCGTCATTAAAAATATTGGAACAGCATTTTCCCCTTTTCTTTAGTAAAGACTGGTCCTCTTTAACATTTGCTAAAGGAGTCTAAAGTTATATACATACCTTCTTTAGAAGATAAACTACAACTGAATTTGAGGCAACCATAAGTGAAATTAAGATAAGAAAAATGCATGAGTTTCCACTTTCTGCTACAGTTTGTGTCCATGACAAGGCCATTTCAGCAGGGCTTTGTCCTGCAGTCATGCAGAAACAGAAAAGGCAGTATTAAGAATAGAATTGTTTCTGCAGGATGCCGCTGAAATGCAGACGCTAAGCTTGCATCCGAGCTCTAATCCAGAACCCACGTTCACTGTATAAAGCTTTCTGATGTGCAAATTGTGTCTTCCTCACGTCATCACTGAGATATACTTCCTGTTTCCCATGTGAAGCTGCTACTTTTTCCTATCACCTCCCACAGTGTGAATGCTGTCACTTTCATTTCTAGAGGTTCTCAAAAGTGCGACACAGTGCTGGATAAAGTCAGAACAAGCTTGCGAGTGCGTCCCGCGGCAAAGCGTTCAGCTGTTCTTGTCCAGAGCTGTCAGCAGCCTGCAGAATGACACGACTGATTCACGGTGACGGCAGCAGGCTTTCAGAATCCCCGCGCAGCTCCTGGAGCATCGTTACAGCGGAAGGTCAAACCTCAGCCAGGAGACGCAGAACTCTCTCTGAACACGCGGATGTTTCTCTGTATATCCCGCGAGTTCACCCACCCTTTTCTAAACTCATCACCAATGTCCTTTCACTGTCATTTCCACTATATCTTTATGACATTTACTCCCCGCTAGCTACAGCCAATATACCTAGAAAGCCACTGACAGCGCGTCCATGTAATTCAATATGATAGCTCTCAACGCAACCAGCCAGATCCAAGAAGGAACTGGAATTTCTATCTTTCTTTTTTTAAACAAAATGTCATGTCGAATATCGGAGCGGTGCGATGTGTTGGCGGGGGTGGTGGAGTTAGTCCTTCGTCTGACAATAGCCGAAGAAAAAATAGAGCTGTCTGTTCGGATCTATTAGTGTGTGTGTGTGTGTGTGTGTGTGTGTGTGTGTGTGTGTGTGTGTGTGTGTGTGTGTGTGTGTGTGTGTGTGTGTGTGTGTGTGTGTGTGTGTGTGTGTGTGTGTGTGTGTGTGTGTGTGGTGTGTGTGTGTGTGTGTGTGTGTGTGTGTGTGTGTGTGTGTGTGTGTGTGGTGTGTGTGTGTGTGTGTGTGTGTGTGTGTGTGTGTGTGTGTGTGTGTGTGTGTGTGTGTGTGTGTGTGTGTGTGTGTGTGTTTGTGTGTGTGTGTGTGTGTGTGTGTGTTGACTATAAATGTTTGAGGCCTTGTATGTTTGTGTTTGCGGAACTCTGCAGAAAAAGGACACAGCTGTAACACAATAATATTCCCCGTGTAGAATGACCTACATACACACCCCAATGGGTGTCCAGACATGTGTGTTTGTGTGTGTGGGGGTACAGAGTGTGTGTTGGCAGCTGTGTGCCTCCCTTTTATTTTGGCCTTCAGCTTTTAAAGTTCCGCCGTCTGTCATTCAGTCTGTCAGGAGAATAAAAATAGACAAATGCCTCGAAAATGTGTCGCTGATTTAATATTGATTACACTTGCTCAAGTCAAGTCATCTGAGGAAATGATCTCCCCTGGATGATCGTACTAGATACAGCAGTGACCTATGATAAGATGATCAATTGGTAATACTAATGTGAATGGCAAAAAGCAACGGTTTGTCTCCATACGTGCTGCTTTATTGATCGGTTGTGCATGCAAGACCTACTGTACATCAAATGTGTGCGTATTAATTTACCAGGTAATCCGTTTTATATCATAAAAAACTAGGGATGCACGATATTGGTTTTTTGAAACCGATACCGATAACTTCCTGCTTCTCAAGACCGATACCGATAACCGATAATACAAAAAAATGTACGCCACTAATTATTTTAATGCGATTAACGCATGTGTATTTTTTTTCCTTGGCCGCCCCGTAGTTTCAGAGCGCATCGAGTTTAAAATACCATCTACAAGCTGATGCTGACAGCCCCGCTCCTGCCGCCCGCTTGTGGCAGACCACACTTCCACGCTCACCGGCAGGCACCGACTGGCCATCGGGAGGACCGGGAGGGTGTGTGTATGTGTGGCCCGAGCGAGCGAGAGACCTTACGTGCATTGTTGTTGTTAGCATCTGGTGCTAGCTAGCTGCGCTAACGGATATAAGGAGCTGTTTAAATGAAAACAGAGGAGCGACATTTCGCCACAACTGCGCCGAGCACTTGACTTTATGCAGGAAGCCAGACAGTGGGACATTGTACGAAAAGTCAGCACACTCAGCACGGATAGTGCAACATGATTGCAGCGTCCAGGCAGCTCCGGTTCGAGCATATGCCTTGAGTTGCACATAGCTCCAACGCCCATACCACCGACGACATGTTTGTTTACTGTCCTGGCTTCACACCATTTACGTCACAGCCAGGCATGAGTTAGGGAGCGCTGGATTTGTGAAGAAGTCCCCTCTTCCTAAACCACTAATACCACAGTACTGGCAAAACGGGAGGATCCGAGTGAAAAACAAGCGCCCCTCATCCCAATCCACCCACACTGCAGTATTTTTTTCTTTTTTTTTACCCAAAAAATATATTGTATATTATCGGGGCTATTAATACTGTTATCGGGTTTATCGGGATAACGTCATAATTCCTAATATCGGACCGATAATTATCGTGCATCCCTATAAAAAAAAAACTGCAAGTAATTTACCTGACTAATGCTTGGAGTGGCATTAACAAGAATATTGATTCGGTTTTTTTTTTTTATCCCAAATTGGTAAACAGTTTAGTATCAGCATGTAAATGCACAATACAAAAAAAACAACAACAATAAACAAACCGTAAATACAGTATACATATTAACACTAAATCTATAGAGAACCCATTGTAAAAATACACTATTTAAAATAAAAAAGTAAATAAGTTAGAATACACAGAAATGTACTATTACTACTAAATATACTGTACTGTACATATGGGATATCAGCATTTTAAATTCTGCAAAAATATTTGCAGTTTTAAACTAAAATTGAAATGCAGTGAGGTTTAGTCAACTTAAACATTTTTTGTTAATAGTTAAATAAAGGGCCTTTCAAAAATGTTTTCTTTCTTCGGAAACACATTTGTGAGACCTAATAAGTATATTTTCTGACACTCCCAGTTCACTGCGCTCATTTTGACATGGCTATAGTATGAAAACAATAGGAGGTATACAGTATCTCACTCTATACTTTAGCTCCTAAATATTTCACTATGTTCACAGCTGGTTTCTCAGTCTGCTGTTTGATGCTGGGCAAGTAGAGTACAGTGAAAGAGAAACAAGTTTTGAATTTGCTACATTAAGCTGCAGATTGAATAGCAAACGCAGATTGAATAGCAAACGCTTTAAAGATCTTTTATCAGAGTAGGAAGTCTTTCTGTAACCTAACTAATCCAAACTCAAACTATAGTTGGCTTGTGTATACAAGTTAATTCAGATGAATCTCCTCCTTTGCAGCCTGATCATGTCCGCGCAGCTAATTGTCTTCCTTATCTCCTATAGGCCCATCTAATTGTCTCTACTATTGCAAATTAAATATGTAGGTATTGCCTACATTGATATTGATATAACCACTCTCTATTTCATACTTTGATAATGTTAGCATGCAAGTGCACTTACCAGAGCTTCAAAGTGCATAATCACACCTCATTTTAATCGCTTATCAACCCCCCTTGTTGTTAGCTTGATTTGATGGATTCCAGCGCTGTGAGCTTTTTTCTCTCTCTCTGAGACGCACTGCGCTTATGTAAATCTATTTAGTCAGAAAAAAAAACATTACATGTGTTTGACTTCCCATAATTACCAAGACTCCTTGGGGAGGGATTTAAATGCTAGTGATTACTTTGTTTGATTACTTATACTGTGTACGTGTGTGAAGCACAGCCTACACACTCTCTGACCTAAATCAGGTTGCTAAACTTAACCTTGATGGATGAGGAAAATTACCGCCTAAATATCTATCTTAAAAAACCCAAATGTTAGTCCTTAATATGTGCAGAAGGACGTGAGTTCTTCAAAGTTAACTTGAAAGATCTTCATTACCAAAACCTTCTGAAGGTGCTGCCCTAAAGGCAAGACTTGAAAACCTTTCCGACAAGAAGTGTTCACAGCAGCCTCCAGGTGATGTAAGACCCCCCCCCCCCCCCCCCCCCCCCCCCCCCCCCCCAACCAACTTCTCTTTCATCAGACCACCAGCCTTCCATTTCTTTAGACCACCTCTTCTGTTCCCGGAGTACCTGCTACAGGAGGCCTGTTTGGTTGTCTGACTCTTATACAAGATCAAATCCTCAACAACAAAGATTATGTTTAAAGTAAAAAAGTTGCCTTTTCCTGTGGAGGAAATGCATTTATGGCAACGCGGTGAGTAACACAATTAGAAAAAAATATGTAGGCTTCATATGGCAACCATTTGAAGACCCCTCTGGCCTGACTACATCATACTTTAGTTATTTCAATGTAAATATGTCCAATGCTTCGTTTTGCAGGGTGATTGCAAAGTTGTGACTCCGGCTTTTTGTTGAGGTGCTTACATATTTGGAACTGGAAATCATTGCCAGAACCTCAATCTGAAAAAAGAATTTTAAAAAGCAACAAATGTGTGTTGTTTTTTTCTCCACAGTAACTACCCATTTCCTGTCCCTTCACTTCTGTGGTAGAGCTGCGTTATTGGCAACACACTGGACTTTCGATTGATTTAGAATGTCAGATAGAAGGAAATATCTAAGCATCAGCTATAGAAAATACTTTTTAGACATGATGGACCCCTTTGGACTAGACAATTCTGCATAATGAACAACATTGAAACTGAATACAGCATACAATACTAAATTCAATGTAATTCTGCACTTAGTAGTGTGTTTTCCTTTTTTGAGTTTCAAAAACTATTTTAAAAAGTAGAACATTTATGGAACAGTGGGCTAACTTGATCGGTGTCAGAACTTTCATTTGAAATAGTAACAATTTCCCTGAAAAACGTTTTAGTATTAAAACATTAGGAATCTGTGTGTGTTCAGATCCGTGCTGGAGGGTTCGAGTACTCCCCCGGGACTCTTCACATCTACTCGGACAGCTTGCTGACACTTCCTGCCATAATCGGCATCGGAGGGGGGGGCGGCCTGCTTCTGCTGGTCATCATCGCTGTGCTGATCGCCTACAAGAGGAAGTCGAGGGACGCCGACCGCACATTGAAACGTCTGCAGCTCCAGATGGACAACCTGGAGTCCAGAGTGGCTCTGGAGTGTAAAGAAGGTAGGAAACAGTGGGATTGAACCTTTGTTAATCAACTGTGTGAGATTGCTATGCTAATTGAGTATGAAACTATACTTGATTAAAGACAGGTTAAAGTTTGAAGACTCCAGGAAGTATACAGAGCGTCGAAGCAAATGTCCGTAGTGGCCAAACTGTGGTACGACAACTTCCGTGTCAGTCTGTGACGTCATTGGCCCCAAAAAAACTTTTTCCCATTGACAAAAATTTGGAAAGAAGAGTCTGTAAATTAGCATGTCTTTTTTTTGTGCAAAATCAGCTACCCAGTCCTAACACTTGAAAAGCCCTCATAAAGTGCGCTACATGCCATGTTCAGAATTATTTTCACTCTTCGTCCTTTTGACTGAGCCAAGACTGGCTGTGACGTGGCGGATTGGAGGCGGGGCTTATATAAAAACGCAAATGCTCATGCTCTATTCTCCCTTTTACTCCCTGCAAGATCCAGGTTTGTTCTAAAGAGTCAGGCGTTTATTGCTTTTTCTTCCACTAAGCAACTTTTATAGGAATTAAAAAAGCCCTGCCTCTAACACTGTATCCAGTTCTCTTCACACATCCATGTTCTGAATCTATAGTCTTGACTGCAAAAGTTGAATGTAATAGTCAAAGAATACCACGTAGAGAGAGATACTCCATTCAGAGATGCAATCCAAAGCAGCTGGATACTGCCGTCATCACTGACAACACGGTTCCTGCAGGATGTGTTTACTGAGGCAAATGCATCACTGCGTCATAGTTGAGTCATTGCAAGTAGAAAAGTATTTTATTTACAAAATATGAAGGGTTGATATAACATCAAGCAGCCAATTTAGTGAGCGTTATAAAACCATCATCGCAGCAAACAGCCAGGAGGCAAACCAAATGGTGCTGTATGGATGGGCAAGTGGTGGCCCCCACCTCTTCTTTTTGCAACCCTCAGATTAATGTATAAATAACGTAATAAAAAAAAAGAAAAAAGAAAAAAAAAGTATTAAAATAATAATTACAAAAAAATGCAAAAAGAATACATCTTAAAATATATTTTAAGATCATGTTTAATCATCTGATTCATCTGTACATTGCTGTTTTAGTCTGTCTTCTTCTAATTAGTGTCTACAGCAGGGGTGCCCAACCTTTTTTGAACCGAGAGCTACTTTTAAAGTGGCTAGTCTGCCGAGATCTACCAGTCCAAATAGAGAGGCATAGCCATTACTGACCAGGTGAATACACACTTCTACTTGTATAAAACTGACCTTTGTACGATTAATACTTCATAAAATACTGCAGATCCTTTATCTTACCTCTTTCTAATCTACACACATACAAGTATTTAACTGAAGTTACACAACAGTGTTGTTGATACAGAGTTGGAGTTTATTCACACGTCACTACAGTGGGTAATGTTTTCAAGAAACATTGAACAGTGCTGCCACATATGACACAGGAAAAAAAGAAAGACTCTGAACCCTTTCTTTGCCATTATATAAAAATAGTGTTGCTACAAAAGTATAAATTAGGCTTACTAATAAGACAACTCAGATCTGAAGCTACACAGGAATCTGCTGCCAAAGTGCAATAAAAAAATTAATAGAATCAAACCCTTTTTTTGTTGCATTTTAGTAGATTATAAAAAGAAATGCCTTTAAAATAGGATGCAAGCAACACTAGTTTCTTAACCTGAATTGATAATAGACTATAATCAATTTAAACAGAACAGATCTGAATGTTTGCATTCTTATACCATTTTGTACAATAATTATAATGAATAAGTTCAAACAAACTAAAACGTACAGCTGATTAATAACGGTATCTAACTTGAGATTTTATCAAAAACCTGTTGAAATGCTACTGTTATTTTTACTGTCCCCCAAAAGCGCGTCGCAGCCTCCAGGAATGCTTCTTTCACAACTTCGCCGTCTTTGAAAGACTTCATGTGTTTCGCAAGAACGTGACTGACACGATAAGATGCTCTGGTAGCAGCCTTGCTCTTGTTGTTGGGCCTGGTGAAAATGGACTGTGCATTTAGCTGTCCTTTCAGGCCCCTCCCCTTTTGGAGCGTAGAGCAGAATTAGGAGGGAATTTCGTCTCGTAGCATTTGTGCACTGTTTTGAAATGCCGCTCCTAAATTACCGTTCTTCGATAAAGCCACGCTCGCATTGCAGATGAGACAGATGGACTTTGAATTGGAATAGATACAATAATAATCATCCTCCCACTCGGAGTGAAAATGATATATTTTGGGCTTTTTTGCTTCTGCCGTAATTACGGTCTTGTGTGTGTGTGCGGACTGTCACTCCTGTTGAGTTGACATGGACAACGTCAGCTAACTAGTGCACTGCCCACCAGCCACGCCCCGACACATGGGATCACGCCGGCCAATCACAAAGCTTTGATGCGTTCAAGTGCATTATTCTGGCACAGGAAATGTATGTTACAGGACATTAACGATAAAACAGAATGTTGTTGTTCTATTTTTAGGCACATCTCGCGATCGACTGGTTGGGCACCGCTGGTCTACAGTGTGCCTATTGAGCCGTTTTGAGTGACGTGGGTCAAGCCCCAATCAAGCCCCTGGGTGTTTCTCAATCTCGAGTGCGCTTGCTTGGTAGCACATGTCTTCCGAGTCACTTGCTTCAGAAGCGAGGCAAGAATACTTCCTGGCATTCGGAAAATGAAGAGTGGAACAGGTGAGCAAGTGTCATATGAGAGGCCCCGCCTTACATTTTCCGCCAAAGATTTGGGGAAATTGGTCCGTGCGCAAAGCATTGTGGGGATTTTAAGACCGCAGAGTCTACACATGTGCAGCCTCTAAATGTTTTGCTATATTCCAAGTATGCTGGACATTGGAACAGTCCTTCGGTGGCACTCGATGACGTAGTATGCTTGAAATAGTGGCTCTGGAGCAACTTTACTCGACATTGAGAAACACCCCCTGTCTCTCACCGTCTAAGTCAGGGGTGGGGAACCTCCGGCCCCCGGGCCGTATATGGCCCGCGACACCATTTGGTATGGCCCTCGAGGTAATTTATAAACACACGCAAAAAATAAAAAAAATCTAGACCGCAAAATAATTAAACAAGCGAGTGCCTGTTTTTCCTGGCAACGGTCATGGTCCTTGAACACAACACGAGACTAACGTGTCATCACGTGGTATATGTCTCGTCTGACAGGGGTGCAATTCTGACGGAGAGCACTAGAACGCCAAAAAATGGCAGTACCCATAAGTCAGTACACATGCTGCAGTTTTTGCGTGGCTGTGTCTTTAGTTGAAAGCCCGGCGATCTGTTCATCTGTCATACTGATCATAACTTTGTTGTTATTAGCATCTGGTTAGCTAGCTATGCTAACGAATATAAGAAGCTTTTTCTCCAACCAGTGAGGTAAAGGCACATCTTTATATGATCATTATAGTTATCAAAACATAAGAGAATAAAGTAAACAGGTATAAAATACTATATAATAGTAACAAAAAGTTGTTATTAATAAACAAGAATACAGTTTGAAAAGAGAGTGATTTGTAAAATATCCATAAAGAAAAAGTAAATCTGCTTACAGTTCTGTTTCATATGGGTGTTGAGAGATGTATCCATAGATCTCTTCATTTTGCTCTCAAAGTGCACCAGATTGATGCTTTCAACTTCAATATTTAAAAATAAATCTTCCCGGGGGAGCTTGCCCCCCTGGACCGCCCTAGAGGAGGTTAGATCCCCCCCCCACACTTAAATCATGTCCACATGGATAGGAGTCTAAATACATTTGCACACATCTTGTGTCCATATCTTTCTGTTTGGTGGTCATGCCACAACCGTGCACGTGCATGCATGCGTGAGTCATGGCAAGATATCTGGATTAAGAGGTTGCTTTTTATTTGCACAGCATGAAAGAAAGGCCAAATGAAATGGGCTGTGATTTTAAGCAGAGGTCAATAATTTGTGCGGCCCTCGGAGGATGTTGAAAAAATTTAAATGGCCCTTGAGAGGAAAAAGGTTCCCCACCCCTGATCTAAGTGAACGGTGACTGTAAAAAACGACACTGCGCATGCACAGAGTATTTTTATATTCAATGTGTGTGGCAAAAAAAATTATCGCCATAGGGGCACTGTGCTGACAAATCCTAACCCACCAAATGTCATCTCACATCATTCAGAGCTGATTGGCTGTAAGTACGTGTGCTGCGAAAAGTGTGGTGTGTGAAGAGGAGACGAGAGAGCTGCAGTGATGCGTCCTAAAACCCGGAAGTAAGCTGCGCATGGCTTCCCTCCACAAAAAAGCAATGAGATTTCTCCATAGGATTTTAGAAAATAGCTCGAAATAAGATCTGTGGGAAACAAACCTGTTAGATAAATGCACGTTTTGTAGGTCTACCCTACTTTTATAATTTTCTAATCATAAACCAGCCACGTCACTGCAGAAGCTTATATTAAATGTCTACGTTTTTTGTGCCCCACCAATTTTGTACTTAGAAAAACGCCACTGCATCCACTCGACTCCTAGTGACGTCGCGAGCTGCGTACATGATTTTGTTCGGCAGCCAAATACCTCAAAATAATCTGTGACGCGTTTGTGTGTATTGTGTTATCACAAAAAACACCGGCTGTTGTTATGCCTGCTGTGACGTTAAGTTACCGCGTGTAATTATGCCTTTACAAGCTTCAAAGTTGTATTCATCATCTGAATTTGGCGAAACAAGTTTAATATTCCAAAAACCAAGACTTTGTTTATTTGAAATCAGATGAAAACAAACTGTCACAGACCCTGCCGTGTTATCTATGATTACTACGCTTTTCATTCATAATTTCCGCAGAGTTGACAGGTGCCTGTGTTGACACTCCCCTTATTGTGCATCAGAAGCAGACTGGCTACAAGTGTCTTAGGTTCAAGTTAGACAACTAATGTCTGGGTTAGTGTTCATGATTTCATGTTTATGTCATCATAATAGTTGTATTCCACTGTTAAATAACCTGTTCAATACAAGCATGCCACTTGACACATTTCTGTGAACTGATATTTGTTTTGTGAGCTTATTAGAGGATGTTCCTTGAAAGATTGAAAAATGTCAATGAAGATGTCAGACTTAGTATATTTGTTAATAATGACATACAATACATGGAATTTGTGTGTGTGTGTGTGTGTGTTCCAACTGTGAATCTGCGGCCCCCTGGTGGCCAGTACATAAATGATGTGGCCCCCACCACCATCCAAGTTGCCCATCATGCTGTACATTGTACAGCATGATGTGTCAACATCGCCATACTGATGTGAAACAAAGAAGAACAACATGTATTCCTGTGATTAATTTCTCCCTACGTGTTCCCTGTTATTGTCCATCCGTACTGTTTTTAAACCTTTCTATAGACTATTTCATGCATTTTAAGGTGTCTTTGGGTGCTTTGAAAGGCGTCTCTACATTTTTTTATTATTATTAACAAATTAATGTATGAAACTCTTTCAGTCCTATTTAAAAATAGTATTGGTGTCTCCTGTGACCAACATTTATATTACAACATCAAACAAACTATAATATCATCAATAACAACTTTTTTCCCAACCCTTAACCAACTGGAAACAAATTGAAGAACTTAGAGAGATTATCCTGAAACCAAAAGTGTTTCACCTCTTACATGATAAACCTAAGAAATGTATCTCCAGGTTTTTTCAGATAAAGATGGAAAGCATACAGGAGGCAATGTGAGGTCAAAGTAGCAAGTGTGTTGTTTGTCGAGAAAGGAGAGGTAGAGGGATACACATTTGGACAGGAGACATATTGATCTGGAGTTTGGATGACTGATGTAAGGACAGCCAAAGTATTTACAGCCAATAGAATGACACAGCCACCCAAAGCCATGGAACAAGGTCATGACATGATTACACTACAGCCACGATCATCTGCTGAACAACCAACTGGAACAGAGCTGCAGTTCAAATTTTCGGAAAATGTGCTAAGAGAAAAAACATATTCTTTCCTCAAAGAAAATCCATTGGAGTCGGTAGAAAAGAAAAGCACTCCGTTTTCCAAGACATGAAGCATGGCCTTATTCCCATCCGCCCCGCCTGCTGTACTCCCAGCTGGCCTGTAGAGGCGAGACAGTGTGTGTGGGCGGAGGAACAGATGAAGTGGGCAGGCCGCAGCGCGCCTGTGTGTGTGTGATAGCAAAAGTGTATGTGTGTGCAGTTGGCTCTGCTCTAGGAGTCCTGAGGGGACGAGACAGGCGACGTTTGATTCAGTCATCTGTGAAAAGCAGACAACAACCCGTACGCATCCTCCAAACTAGCATATTAGCAGTCATGGATGATTAGTTACACATTAGAAATGCTGACTGGCAAGTGTCATGTTTTGAGTCAGTATAGATACTGTTGAGACGCTTTATGAAAGCAAATACAATGGAATGGATTTCCAAAGAATTCATGGGCAAAGCATTGTTTACATTTAAAGGCTAATGCAAGCACACTCAGTGCCGTGGCATTTTATACACTTCACTTCCCAGATTTGCTGTGGTGAAGTCTTTGCTTTGTGTACTCAAATCAGAAACATATGAAGGATTTGTTCAGGAAAGACCTACCAGATACACTGTTCACAGCAGCCAGATTAAAGCAAATATACACTGGACATCAAACCAAAACCATGTGGCAGCAACAGGTGATTACTTAAATGTTAACTTGTGTGTTCCGGCTTTTACCAAGGGGTAAGGTTTATTTGAAATACTGCAGAAACTCTCCACTAGTCGTGCACATGGTTTTATTAGATGCGTTACATTAGGAGGGTGTTTCCTCTACATTACATTGCATTTAGCTGATGCTTTTATCCAAAGCGACTTACAATAAGTGCGTTCGACCAAGAAGATACAAACTTGAAGAAAACAGAATCATATAAGTACATCAGGTTTCATAGAGCCAAAACATTTCAAGTGCTACTCCACTGGCTTTAGGTAAGCCAGTCCTTTATTAGTATATAAGTGCTTTGTTAATAGTTCTATCGCTCGAAGTGGAGTCAAAAGAGATGAGTTTTCAGTCTGCGCCGGAAGGTGTGCAAGCTATCTGCTGTCCTGATGTCAATGGGGAGCTCATTCCACCATCTTGGAGCCAGGATAGCAAACCCACGTGTTTTTGATGGGAACTTGGGTCCCAAGTCTCCACTCCCCTGGATTGTTGGTGCTGAACACCTCTACATTTCTAAGTGCTTTAGACATTTTTAGTTATGCCTTAGTTAATTCTTAACACAAAACTGCATTGTCATGAATATAAAAATAGTCCAGATAAAACAATCATATTTCATGAGTTTTCAATCAAATCTCCCTGCAAATAAAACTGTTTTTTAAAGAGATGAAATGCACTCTTGAACTTTAGATAGATATAGCTGTAACTATGCTAATGGTAGCATTATGATTGCTCTCTGCCACGCAGTCTCATTAAGATGTCTTTGCTACTAAAGATTCTTGAGAAAACTGAGGAGAATTCACTTTCTGTTAAATGCTTATCACTATGCAATTCAGTGAAAGTCAATCAGTCTCGCTTTAACTATATTTGAGGTATCTTGATGTATTATTCAACAGACATTTCAGTTCATCAGAAGCCATTCTTATGTACGGTGTGTCTTTTGTTTTTCTTTGCCCTTTTCACGCAGAATCATTTGCCATTCGAGCAATAAATACGGAATTAATGAATGAAATAATTGGAGATGGGGGTTTTGATGACAGAATGTGGAAGGAGTGAAACAATGATGCAAAACTCTCGTCTTCTTTACCTGGATTTATATTTGTCACACATCTCTACCTCTTCATCTTTCTTGCTCTATCCACTCGACTTTTCCTTTCCTTTCTTCCCTTTATCTTCTCCGCTTCCTCTCCATCTCTCTTGTGGACCAACCAGTCCAATAACAGCTGGGAGAAATTATGCATGAAAACTCATCCGTCGCTCTCTTAATAATTATCCACTCATGCAATTAATTGACTTTCCTTTCCAGGAACTTTGTTTTTTGTCTCTGGTTCTTCCTCTTTCTCTCTCTTCGAGCTAGCTTTGCCTTTTTATTTCATTATGTTTGGGCTTTTTTGATTGGACAAGCAAAGATTACATTTATCGGGTCTAAGACACCAAAGAGAAAATTAAGTTCACGACAGTTTAAAGTCTTGTCATTTTTCTCCCAGGTGTTCTTTCAGGATGTATTTGTTTGAAAAATGTTAGAGAAATTACAATGGGGCTCTTTTAATCACACTTAATTACATGTCCTTCACTTAAATGAATTTGATTGCTATATCGGGATTTGTTATCATTCATTAATGTCTAAAAACCCTTGCTTCTTTTCTCTGAATGTATTGGTCCTCTTTCTTCATCATGGTGGAGCATCATATAATTACTGAATTACCCTCCAACCTCTGCTTTTCATCAGATAATGAACTCCAGATTAGCAGTGATACACATTGATAGTATCAAGCTGGTGTCACTTACTAATTCAACAAAGAAAGTACCTGCTGGAAAGGAGGTATTTTAAGTGTTATGTAGTGTTATGTGCTAACTGACGCCTACAGTAGCAACTGCATTAACTCAGTTGCTACAGGACATCAAGGTCACACAGTGTATTCAGAATACTTTTTTACTCCTTTTGTTTGTTGCAGAAAGAGAGTATATTTTCGGAGCAATTGGCCTTTGAAACAATAAGTGTTGGTTTTCTGGATAACTCTCAAAGAAATGGATTTTCTGTGTAATGGGCTATCGCAACAATGTACCATCGCAACAATGTACCATCTACTACACCTAGCTGTAGAAACATCCAGTGGGAAAGCAGCCTTCATTTGGGAGTCAATTTGCTGTTTGTAACGTGAATTCCAGTGTTCACAAACGTCACATGTACTTAGCAACAGTGAGAATGGACGAGCATATGAACCTAGACATGAACAGTTAATTGGACCTTTCAAACAAAATTAAACTGCAATGATAGTCTTTAAGTCAAATAACGGAAATAATACTTTTAAATCAAAAGGCAGAACCAAAGGCAAGTCCTTTACCAACTGTTCCATTTAAACATGTTTTTTCGCCATCCACCAACACTTTCTCTATTTGTACATTTTCTTCGTAGCTTTTGCCGAGCTCCAGACAGACATCCATGAGCTGACCCAGGAGCTAGACGGAGCTGGGATCCCCTTCCTGGACTATCGGACTTATGCCATGAGGGTCCTGTTCCCAGGCATCGAGGACCACCCTGTGCTCAAGGAGATGGAGGTACGGGTCAGTACCCCACCAACCAAGCTTGAAACTAAAAACCAACTCATCGTCAATAATCAATTCCAGTAGAACCGAGAACTAAGCCTTTGAACCAATGAACTAACACCAGAGGTAGAAGGAAGTGGTGAAATATGGATTGAATGTCCTACCAGCTTTATACACTTGTAGCTTCTTTCATCAAAGACACTCATTCTGAGATGTCAGACATGTTTCACAGCAATGATATAACCTGTGTTTTACCTACTTGGTGTTGATCTACTGAACATTACTTTTCAAGAGACAAACCGTCATCATTAGTTTGATCTCATGGGACTAACTCTCACCATATTCTCTTGATGTGGGGACGTAGAGTTTTAAAGTGCTTGAAATGAACTGAAAATAAATGTTATGTAAGACATACAAGAAGATAAAGAGATGTAAAAAAAAAAAGGGCATAGCAAAGATGAAGAGAAGGAGGATTAGAGCAGAGAGATTCAGGGTAACGAGGATTCTTACTTGCATTATACATCACTGTTAAGTTATTAATTAAGCCTGTACATGCAGCCACCTTGCCAGCACAGCTGAATGGAGACAGTGCTCGTGATTTACCGCTGAGACCAAGGGAAGTACAATTAATAGTGTGTCAACATAAACTACTCCGCTCCAACGCTAGAAACCAAGAGAGCCAAGTTTGTAATCAGCAGTATCATTAAGATGTAGAAGCTGGTGCCGCTTCATTGACTTTGATTGGAGCGCTGACTTTTTGGAGTCCAGGAACAATTTGTTTGACCTTTTTACAGCTTCATTTAATCGTTATAATCCAGAAAGTGGATTTATACTCCTGGAAAAAGAAAAAGCCCTCGGGGCGGTCTCAGAGCTGCCATGTCTTTTTTTTTTTGGTTCATTCTTAGCGATTCATCCTCTCTTATTTTTGGCTACAAGCAACAGTGGTGATTACTTAAATACAGTAGAGATATCCTCAGATATGGAACAAAGCCCATTGTGGCTCCCACCAGAGACTATAGCGCTATAACTAACACAACTCCTGATAATGCAGAATCTGAAAGAATACAGAGTAGTTAGTGTAACAGGCAAATCAAATGAAACTCTTTTAACCATTGGTCCCCTCCTCTGTATTTGGGTTAGCACTTTTGCAGATTGGTATAACTTTTTGTGACATAACTCGATAGCATTTTATCAAATACGAACATAATGGTAAATACGCATCACATCTAAATCCTTTGGAATTTCTTATTGAGTTTTGGCATTCAACTTTCATAAAGTTAAATGTTTTATTGCTGGAGAAACCAGGAATACTATGCAAATGTCACGCCTAATGAATGTGCACATCTTGTAGATAGGAGCTGGAAATGAGAATATATAGTTAGGATTAAATATTATGGAAGAGGCGTAACCTACAATTGTCATAATTACATTCTCATACTTCTTCCTTCGCCTCTAAATATTTAAGTTGATTCAAATATTGATATTATGAAATGATATATGAAAAGTTTAACTGGGAGACACAAAAAACAAACTTGAAAAACAAGCGGGGTCAAATAATATATACTCTCTAATTATATGGTACAGTCAAAAATAGACATGATATTTCAATGTAATTTTTATTTAATATGTTTTTTATTTTTTTAATGTATATATGTTTCTTATATACAGTAATGTATTAAATATATTATTATAATTGTTCATTATAATTGTTTTAAATTATTATAACTTTATGTTATTAGCAGATAGCTTTAATTAGCTAGAACTAGCATGACCTCTAGCTTGGGGAAATTGTCATACCGTTGAAAGCTTCAACCAAATGTCTTGTCCATTGTAATGACTTAAAATAAAAAAACAATGGAGGAGAGGGGGTAAACATTTTTTATTAGTGATTCACTAATATCCAAGCTCCAACAAATATTGGGGTTTTCATGAATGGGAACCATATCTCAATATCGACCTACCCTGAACTGCCATTTTATAAATCCTAATATCATCATGGATAAATTGGATCAGGTTTTTGGTCACCTCGCAGAAGTAAGCCATGCTTAGCGCCCAGCATGAATATGCCCAACAGCTTTTATCAACCAGTTAGACTAAAATATGTAGTATCGTCACTTGTAAGCTCTTTTTTTTAGAAACATGACACTTCAGTAAGGTGTCCCCTGTTACAAATACAGTCCTCCTTTAATTTGAGGTGTCAGGTGGGCAGGAGGTAAAGGGGTCTTACGGGTCTTCTAGTTTATGTCTAGACTTCCTTCCCCTTCTCTCTGTATTTCCCCCAGGGGTTGCCACTGTAATCCAATGGCCTGTGTAAACCAATGCTCATAGCTTTATTGCTCTGTGTGACTGGGCACTTCCCTAAGCTAGACAGCCACACTACACACCAGTTATCCTCACACACACACACACACACACACACACACACACACACACACACACACACACACACACACACACACATACACATACACATACACACACACACACACACACACACAGATATATTCTTGCAGATGCCCTTCCTAACACTCTCTTTGAAAATGGGTAAAGATTGTGCCTGTGGAGTACGCACATGCATCTCCATCCGTCTCTCTCTTCTTCTCTTCCACACACACACCCATCACTCTCAGTATCCACCCTGGAGGCCCCCAGAATCTCATTTAGCACTTTAGAGAGAGGCCCAGACACTTTATTATAGCACATCGGAGGAAGGAAGAAAAGATGTAACAGTGGTACAAAAGGATGACGATACAGAGACACAGAGAGAGAGGAGAAGGTGTGTGTGTGTGTGTGTGTGTGTGTGTGTTAGAGAGACACACAAAGACAAAGAGCAGGAGAAATTAAAATGGGAGGAAGAGCAATGATGTGAAACAGTCAACAATAAGTGCCAGGGAGAGAATTAGAGCGGAGAGGAAGAAGGAGCGACAGGGAGGCGTCTTCAGGGGTTTAGGGTGTTGTTGATGGGTAGTGACAGGTGCCAGCCAGTGGAACAAGCAGGGAGCACCTCTGTCTCACACACACACACACACTGCTCTTCCTCTTCATCTCTTCCTCCCTCACACCCGTCTGATTAAATGTTGGCATTTTTTTCTGTTCAAGGAACTTCATGTAAAAATAAAATGGCAGTGGTAATATTCTGAGAAAGAAACTCAAATAGTTCCCAAGATTAAAGTTGTACAATTCCGGAAATAAACTTGGATTTAAATTAAAGTCGTAAACTTATTAGAACAAAACGTCAAAGATGAACAGTAAAACACTTTTTCTCCTGATATTATAGTCGTACATTTGCAAGAAACAAACTAACTTGGATTCAAGTCAGATATTTAAGAGAAAATAACATTTTAAAAGGGTTGTTGTGTATTTATCTACATTGGCCCAAATATGATGTCTTGAGTGAGTAAAGTTGTCTATTATGGCTTTTTCACAAATAAAGTGTAGCTACATCAGTATGTGAATATGGATGTATTTAATTAAATAACAAGATGTCTCCTGTTCTGGCATCATCATCATCCCTTTCTAATTTGCATATTGGCTTTTTAAACTATTTATTTATAAACTTAAACTCAGATTTAGAGTGAGTTCTTTGAACAAATCCTGGGAATTTTAAAATGCAGAGAAAACACACATTCATATTATAATAATAACATGTTTCTACATTTGTATTTGTCTTTCTTTGAACTCTTCCCTCTCTGTGTGTTTCTTCAGGTCCAGGCCAATGTTGAGAAGGCTCTGACGCTGTTTGGCCAGCTGCTGACCAAGAAGCACTTCCTGTTGACGTTCATACGAACCCTGGAGGCACAGAGGTGTCTGTCTTTAAACATTCCTTTATTTTAATAATAGAGGGTTTTGGGCTACTTCATAAACAGTGTCTTCCAGTTTTGAAAATAACTTCAAAGCAAGCTTAAAATTAGCAATCACTCAATAACTTTTTTCATTTACCCACATGATATTTCCAGCTATGTGAATAGGATCATGTAAATGCAACATACTGCATGAAATAGTAAGTAATTGGATTCAGACAAAAAAAAAGTTCTCCTGGGAAAAGAGGATAATTTGACTTTGGAAAGTATGTTTTTATCACCTGCTTCATTTCAAGGAAAGTGACATCAGAGGCCGTGCTGCCCCTGATTAGGACAGGAAAGGCAAATGGATAAACAGAGTAGAAACATTTTAGCAGCTCCAAAATTACCCTCAAACACTCAGAGCTAACCTGTACTGGAGAGAGTATGTGTAAAAAAGCAGGAAATAAAAAAAGGAACTCACCTTATAGTAAACCCACAAGAAAAAAAGCATTTGAGCTCCATTCTGTTTCAGAAATAATCCTTGATGTGGTTTGGAACATGATATGGCGTTTAATCACGGCAGCATTTAGCTGTATCTGCCGGTAGAAATCTCTCTCTTCCCTCTGCAGCTCACAGCTTGCCGTGCTCCAAAGGGGGCGGGGCCAGCAGTTACAGACCCAGAATCAGCCCTTCTCTAACGGTCCACACGGCAGCGTGCGTTGAAGCTTGCCGGTGGGTGTGTCTGGCGTGGGACCAACAACCAATCACATTAATCTCCCGCCCTGGACACACAAGCACGCGGTTTGATTGGCTAGACCAGGGGTGGCCAACCAGTCAGAGGTTAAGAGCCACATTTGTTCTATGTTACTGCAAAGAGCCACATCAAACACACAGGCACTGATACCGCTTGTTTCCGTTTTTTTCTCCAAAACAATGGTAGGGGAAACACTGGATAGTGTTTAATCAACGATAGGTTTCCCCCCCTCAAAGGTGATTGGTTCACTGCATCACAGGTATTATTGTGATTGGGCCACATCAAAATTAGACTTGCTGTCATCCTCTCATACTGACACCTGACACCACACATACACACCGGGAGCCGGGACGAAAGTAACACGGGACGAAAGTAACGGAGCGATTTTATCCGAGCCCAAACAACTTTGACCGGCCAAATTACGTTAATACTTAACAGACCTACTAAATATCAGGTTTAACTGTCAGGAGTAGCTAGTGTTGTCACGATACCAACATTTTGGTTTCGATACCAAGTCAAGAATTGCGATTCCGATTATTTTTCGATACTTTTCTTAAAAAACAGTCTTAAATGTAATTATTGTGCTTTATTTCACACCAGAACCATAACCATAACACAAACTTTTAAACAATGAGAACAATAAATTAAATAAATGACAAGATATCCTATTAAATAAAATTAATACATTTCTTACAGACAGGCCTCGTGGTGTCCGTAGGCTTGCCCTCACTGTCAGAGATATAGCTCAAATACTTCCAAATTTCGCTTCTGGCGTCTTTGTTGTCAACAAGCCGAGGCGCAGCGGCAGTTGCACTCCCACTTGCAGCCATGCTTCTCGTTTTCTCACATGCTCTGGCAGCTAGCGCGTGCACGAGAGAGGGGAGGGACTTAGAGCGTGCTTGAGAGGGGCGGGACTGCAGGCACGGCTGCAGTGCAGGGAGTGGAAGCAGAGCGCTGAACACACACGGCTCTTATTAAAACGGCGCTTTCTCACCGGAGTACTTTCCCCCGTCATTCTTAAAGTACCGATACTAATGAAACGGAGGAATCGTAACGTTTTTAACGGCAGGGTATCGCGGTACCTTTCAAGTATCGGTACACCGTGCAACACTAGTCAGGAGTCAGTGTCTCTCCCCCAAACTCACACATATACAATTCGATATGAACTGAAGAGCCGCATGAAACTAGGCAAAGAGCCGCATGCGGCTCGAGAGCCGCGGGTTGGCCACCCCTGGGCTAGAGCTTGTATCGGCATATGATTTGATTGGCTGGCGCTTCCGTCTACGCTTGAAAAGTTGAACCTTTCTCAACTTTTGAAGCGAGCAACGGAGGCAAAGCGACGGAACCATAATGCAGTTCGGCAAAGCGTGACGTCACCCCATTCAAAGTGAATGGGAAGCGTCTCCGTTGGAGCATGCGACGCTGCCGTGTGGACGGGCCGTAACAGGGCTGAATAGAGGGATATGAGAGATGTCTAAAATGCATGATCTGTTTGGTATTTTGAGCAAAATACATCATAGAGATGTTTTTTATATATTTGTATATATCTGAGACCCATAACATATGCCTAAAAATAGCATGATAGGAGATCTTTAATAAAATAGCTTTTCAATGCATTTCCAGATCGTTTTCCATGAGGGACCGCGGCAATGTGGCGTCCCTGATCATGACGGCGCTGCAGGGGGAGATGGAGTACGCCACCGGAGTGCTGAAGCAGCTGCTGTCCGACCTTATCGACAGGAACCTGGAGAGCAAGAACCATCCCAAGCTGCTGCTCAGGAGGTGAGCACCATGATGAAAACAAATATAGAAAACGCTGTTAAACTCCACACAGAATGTAGTGAAATCGACTTGTCATTTACTTCATATATTGTAGTGTTCTATCTTGGAGGTCTGTTGACTAGAAATAGGTTCAGTGAACACACTGCAGAGGCTTTACTAAACTCATTAAATGTAGTTTCCAAGGAAAGAGGATTAGCATTACCGCTAACGTCCCACCATGCATTGCTAGAGGGAGAAAAACTCTATTACTCTGACACTGTTCTTTTAGTGGAAGAAAACACACATTGTTAATATTATGTAACAGTTCTCACAGAAACAATGAAAGTTGTGTATACAGTGTATACAGTCACATCCCTATTGGCCGCCTACGGTCTCAAAAATAGTTCGTAACAAATGGCATTCGAACAATCAGTGCAAAAAGACTTCAAGTTAGTCTCAGTGAAGGAAAGCAAAAAGCTGTGTAATACAATACCCATACAGAAATGTCGTAACTTGTAATGAGATGTAGACATAGACGCGGGAAGTCATTTTGCTCAGGGGGTGCTGCCAAAAGTGGGGAGGGAGCCGCTTAAATTTTTTTTTAAAAAGGCGGTGCCGGGCCCGGCTGTCAGCGATACGAGCCGCATAAATTGTTTGTTAAAGGCGAGACACGGCAGGCAAAAACGTTTTTCATGCACTGGTCAATTTTGAGATGTTGTGCTATTTTGATTCCATAACATGTTTTCTTTCAGGCTTTTGGAAGGAAAACGTACAAAATACACATTTAAGTGTTCATTTTACTATAGTTTGTCTATTTGCGTCTGTAGATTTCTCCTAAATTCACCAAAAGTTAGCATTCTAACGTAACATAAAGTACCACGACCGCTGTTTGCACCATGTCAACAGAGTTATAGAAAGCTCCGTCTCTCCTGCACAATCTCATCGGATCCAAATATGGTCATTTCCTTTGTATCAGCAACCAATCGTGAAAGTACAAAGGGGTCTTAAACCAAGAAACGAAATCTCATTGGCTGGTGTCAACTTCTGACAATGTGATTCGTTCAGATGCGTCACGTGATGTGCTAAAACACTTCCTGGTTAGCTTTCCGCTAGAAATTTAAATCTCAAAATGGCAAAAGAACAGCGAAAAAAAACGTTCACAGAGAAGACGACAACAATTGTCACTTGCACGAAGCAAGGTTATAAAAAACACAAATGACCCTGAACATGAAATACCTTCACGGAGTGTGTCGAGGCGCAAGCTGTCATCCAAAGAACAGGAGGGTTTAGCTAGCGCCTCACTGCAATCTTTAAAGGTCCTTTTCTCAAAATGAGTTTTTTCTCCTACTCTGAGTTCGAAATTTCAACTTCAGTAGCACGTACATACACCAAACCTTCTAGTTATATTCCTATCAATATTATGAAGGCTTTTACAGAAGGGTTTGTTCATATATCATTCATAGCCTGAAATATATAAGATGTTATACCTAGAAACATGGCGAAAATTGATATTTTAGGGCTGTTGACAGTATTTTCTGATTTATGGAGTGATAAAAAGAGATATCCAAAATCCCTTCTGTGAAAGCCTTAGATGCTAATATGATTATGAAATGAGAATTTTGAACCTGGCTTTATCCAAAGTTCAGATTTCGATTCCTGAAATGTGTTAAAATATGCGCAAATTTAATGAGATAATGGATCATTTGCATATTCAGAAAACTTGTAATATAAGAAACAATTGCCTTATTGTAGGTAATTAACTGGAGAAATTACCCTATTCACCTGGGGTGTCTCACCTTAACTAGGCTTAATAAACCATTATAGACCTACATCACTTAGCAACAGCTGCACATGCCCACATGCTAACTATGGGTCTTACAAACCTACATAACATTACAAATAGTCAGAAAATATTATTTACAATATTAATAAAACTATTAATTCAATTTTAACTGATTGACAAGGCAAAACACTGCACAGCGGCAGCAGCATTAAAGGAAACATCGTCTTGCCTTGTGTTGGGGCTTCACAAAACTCCACATGTAGCCTGGGGTGGCACTAATGAAGACCCTCATTAGAGCAGATACATCCACATTGTCCAAAATGTTACTATGGACATGCATTAAAGTCAGATGTGTCAGTCTCTTCTGTGTCATATTACTCTAGTTGTAGAGGTGGTGGGCTGAGGAGTAGCTGGTGGTTCACTCTTTTTATTGGGTTGTTTGTTGAAGAAAACATATACACATATATACTATGACTATTATATGCTACTGTATACAGCTAATTTTATTTTAAGTAAAATCATAACTATTTTATGTAGTTTAATCATTTTTATTTAGGTGGTCACTCAGTTTTTCAAATGTACACCACTCGCCAACAGGGGGTGCTGCAGCACCCCCAGCACCCCTACTTCCCGCGGCTATGGATGTAGATCTCTCCAAAAAGCGTACTACGAACTAGAATGGGAGTTGGAGTGAACATACCTCCACCAAGGCTATTTCCCTAAATGAAAAAGAATGCTTGCGTTGTGTGTATTTATATTGTATGCCCTGATTCAAATCCACTCCAAAATGTAACTCGTTCCTTGGCCCATTCATTCCCCTTTCACCAAATATTGTGACATGTTTCTTGTTTTTTCTCATAATCCTGGTGACAGACAAAAACAACTAGAGACCAAGCAAAAACATAACCTCAAAGGCAGATGTTATTATGTCCACAAAACTATCATTGTTTATATTTAAAATCATGCAACAAGGTTGATTCATTAGAGCTTTTCTTTTTATAACGTCCCATTTCTTTCAGAACGGAGTCAGTGGCTGAGAAGATGCTGACCAACTGGTTTACCTTCCTCTTATATAAGTTCCTCAAGGTAAGCCCAACAACCGTTTTGAAACTTCTATCCGTATGCAATCTGTTGGCTGTATTTTTAAAACACAGATTTGTATTGTCATGTTGTTATAAATACTGGCTTATATTATTTTCCCCATACATTTATCTCAGTGCTTTTTGTAATATTGTATCTTCAGATGTCTTGCCTATCAATTATATCAACAGTAGATCATTGAAGCTTCTTCCTTTCTGCTGTTTTAATGTTTTTTTGGGTGCATGGATCCTCTCTACTGTCATGGTTTCACTTTTGTATCCGACACGTCTCCTCCACGTCGTTCCTTTATCTTACATCTTCTCCTCCTCTGATCTCGCTGTCATTATTCCTCCGTCAGTCCCCTCTCCGCCTAAAGGTCATTTGCCTCGCCATGGGGTGCCATGTTGCTGGCACTGTCCTCACATGCCCCCTCCTCTCATCATCCTCAACATCCATGTCCCCACTTTTTTATCCTCACTTTTAAAGGGCCTGCTTAGAAAAAGCGCATATATTCATAAAATAGTCTCTGCTTATGTGATGAAATAAACCCCACCAGGGATAATTACAAACAATGCTTAAAATGACAAAGACAGAAATGTATTTTCTTAAAAAAAAATAGAAAGACATTTTTTTTTTTAAAGGGTTATTTGAACAATATATGATTTCCTTTTTTTCTCCAGCTAAAAACATATACAGATGTATCAACTCCCCAAGAAAAAAGTACCACAATTAAACCAATCAAATAAATAATCCAAATGATGCAGTTCACAGACATCATTATGGAAAACCAAAAGAAAAAATCTCCATAACAAAACTATGCTAATATTTATTCTGTGCTACAATGCACAAAACATGTCACTTAAATCCCAATAACTTTTGTATTTCATTAACTAGAGAATAATGTATCCACAGTGCATTGCTGCTGACCGCTGGCTGTTAGCGGTGCAGAATCTGATCTCTCCTCAGCTACAGCGTCATTATCCCTCTGTAATGTAAATGTCAGCATGCAATCAGGGAGCCGTAATGAAGCCACTATATTGAAGAAAAGGGAATTTCAGAGACAGGCATGCAGCAGCCGAGCACAGGAGGCGAAAGGCGAACCGAAAGCATAACAGCTTATCGTGATGTATGCTCCCTCTGCCTCGTTAGCAGCTGCCAGCTAATTGGCCCAGATGCTAACAAGGTTCTCGTTAAGCGGCGGAATGAGGAAGTAAGGAGGGAGAGGGGAGTGGTTGGTGGGAGAGGCGGGAAGGAGCAGAGCATGGGGTTAGAGGTGGTGGGGAGAGAGGGAAATAATAAAGAGGGGCATGACAATTAGGAGGGAGGAGAGGGAAAGGGAAGGAGGTGAGGAAGAAGGAGGTAGGAGATAAAGGGGAACAATTGTAATGGACAGGAGGAGAAAAAAGTCAGGAGGAAGCAGATTGAGGTAATGATAGGGTGAAGTAAATCAAAAATCTGCTTTCCTAGTTTACTTTGAACGTATACTTAATGTGGACATGTTGTTCTGCTTTCCTTGTTCATTTGTATTCTAACCTGTATTCAAATGATTTGCCTCCGTCAAGAATAACTGTTTCTGGCTAAAGGCCATTTTTGGAAACCAAAATGCTTTTTAAAATCACTGTTTCTCACTAAAACACATTGTGTGTGTCCTTGACGTCTTACAAATGTAATTGTACTTTCCTCCTTGTAAAAAATGTGGAATGCTGGTGCTGTTAAGGTGATCAACAACTCTGGATAGGTTTCAAATGGTCGTATTTTAATATCACAATCCATATTGCGTTCTGTGAGTATTTTCAAGCTCCATTTATTTCATCATCAGTGCATAAAATACCGGCTCATAGCTCATTAATCCCAATAGATGAGCATTGTATACACAGCTTGTGTAGTAGCTACATAAAGAACATGTGGTAACAGAGAGAAAAAAAGAAAAAAAACGTGTGTGTTTGAAAGAATAAGCGAGTTGTGGAGTGTGTTTGAAGGTGAGACTGATAGATTAGCACCCTCCCCTGTTCTCATCTGGACCCAATGCAACACACACACACACACACACACACACACACACACACACACACACACACACACACACACACACAGGCTGAAGTGTCTCCACTGCACGGTGGATCATTAAGCTCTCGTCAGGCTGAGTATTGGCCGTGATCTGTCCTCTCACCCCCCTTAAACTGCCGCTGCTTCAGTCCCAGTGTTTTCCTCGGGCCCAGCTGATGACTAATGACACTATTGATTGGCAAGTGTCTTTGATGGAGGGAGAGCGGGAACATATATAAAACATCTGTGTAGCTCTGACACGCAGACGAGGGGGGAAGCGGATATATTTATCTAACGCTGCTCACAACTCAGAGACAGGAAGTGATCATTTAGGCTCATTCACCCGATGCTCACACCAAAATTCCGTTGCCGTCCACAATATATTTTTTTATGATTTGACTATGATTTTCTATGTGCATCTTACAGGCTGGATTTCCAAATCTATTGAATTCTCCTTTAAACTACACTTATGTTGATTTTTATCACATGTATAATTCATGTGCGATGCCATATTAACATGCTGCCTTGACAAACCAGTTTCCCAAATAGGAATCAATGAATTCAATATGCCATTAGAATCTGATCGTATAAGCAAGTTGTGATTTGGTTGACCTGTCGCTTAACGACATGATAACCTGATAGCATCATGCTAATCCTGCTGGGTAATGTGAAATATAGAAAGAGATTGAGATGGATGATAATTAATGGGGGGGTATGCTGAATGATTATTTTTAATCAAAGCAGATTGTATTTATATTAACCCAATATCGCAAAACACCTTTGACTCAGGGGGCTTTACAAATCCACTAACATGAATGACAACAAATACTATAATATTAAATACTCAGGTTTCGACTGAAGAGTAGTCTTACTCTGTAAATAAACTGTAGCCTAAAAAACGATAGTTTTTTCAAATGACTTTAACAGATTGTCACATTTTCCAGGATTCAAAATGTTACAGCAGATCAAGTAAAGTGTGATGTGATTAAATCAGCCAGTAATACTTTAAGTGGGCATGTTATTGTATTTGTTTGTTTACATGAATAAGCACAAACTAAATTACAGTCACTCATTTGTTTTTGCGTTGACAGTTACTTTATTATTTCTCTTACCGCTTGCAAAATGTCTTCCTAGGCATGCTCAACACACATCAAAACAGCCCATAATGAGTCCTTATTTAATCACACTCCATGCAATTCAGATGAACTGCGACTGAATGAAAGAAATGTGAAAATCCTGTGCCCCTGACACTAATTTGCGACAGCCTTAGAAATCACCCAGAGCTGTCAGAAAAGCAGATGTCATGCTTTCAGTGTGTTATTAAGTCCAAAGATGCACCATTTGTGTATCCCCTCTTAGAGGTCATGTGACGATTCATCGGAAAGGAGGGAAGAAGAAAGTGTACAGTTTATTATGGTTGTTTTTTAACATTACATTTCATTAAGCTGAACCTTTAATCCTAAGCGTCCTACAATAAGTGAGCGGTTTTTTTATTTTATTTAAAACGATTTTGTATTCATTATTTCATTAATCAGCTCTTATATATTTGATGAGGTTTTTACCTAAAGACACTGATTTTCTCAGATTTTTCCTTTTTCTCAGATTTTCTTGACATTTCCTTTTTTCTGGTCTGTTAGAATCTGAAAAAAGAAAAATCACTACTTTGGATGAACTAATGGCAACTTTTCTCTTTCTGTCTGCCCCCCCACCAGGAGTGTGCCGGGGAGCCTCTGTTCATGCTTTACTGTGCCATCAAGCAGCAGATGGAGAAGGGCCCCATCGACGCCATCACAGGAGAGGCCCGCTACTCCCTCAGCGAGGACAAGCTCATCAGACAACAGCTCGACTACAAAACACTGGTCAGTGAACTCACCGTGTGCCTCAGGGCTAAGCTATGGTGAAACAAGTCCTCCGAGCCTCAACTCGGGTATACATTTTATTGTTTTAAAATACTCCAATTCAGTTAAAAGTTCTGATTGTAATAGGTTAAAGAAACCGTTGTATCAACAACATATACTTTAAGCATCAAAAGTACTCAGTATGCAGGATGGCTTTTTTCCTGATTTAAATTGTTATTGAATATTATTTTTCTCTTTTTATCAACAACAAATACATGTTTGGTATAATTATTTGTGTTGTAGTTTATCTTAGTTTAGCCAATTTCTTGGTACTTTTTAAGAAAGTGGGTACATTAGTAGTACAGCACTGCATTGACAGCAAATGTACTCAAGTACTGTACTTAAAAATAAGTAAAAATACAACTTTGAGCTACGTGTACTTAACTTAGTATAAGTAATAGTAACTATGGGTTATTAAATAATTTTCTCCCAAAAAATAGAAGTTTGTATCATACAACAATAAAACTCATAGAACAAGCGAATTACTTACTGTAAGTAAATGTACTTTCTTACATTCGAGCACAGGGTCTGAATGACTTGAGGAGTTATTATGCTTTAGTTACAACTGATGATGACAGCTCGAGCCCTAACTCATCAGCAGCTCAAACATGGCGGCCAACGTTGAACAGGTTGAAGGGTAAACATGGCGCTTTAGCATTATTTGTGTTGGGAGGGAGAACGTGAACTCCTGCCCAGCTTTTATCACGTTCTCCCTTCAAACAAAGCACTCCAGGCTGGGATTGGAAACATAGACGTAACTACTTGTAATCAGGGTCTGCTACGGTTGTTTTGGTTTGCACCCAAGTGTGAAGGCCGAGTTACAATAGCAACACAACTGAAGGGACTAGGAACATTTCCAAGTTTTCAAACAGCTGCTGCAAACAGACCAGGTGTGAAAAGGCTGTCATGTACATTCGAATGCACCTTAGTTGGCCGTGTTCTGGCTGTGTATACTATGTAGCATCTCAGCATTAACATGACCTTAAACAACCAGACCTACGTTATATATGTTGTAGGGATGTGTACTGACATTATCAACAGATGTTTTCAACAGTTTCCAAACCTGAAGAAGTGAGCGGTAGGCACACAGCATTGAAGAAACAGCTTAAGGCAGTGTTTTTTGTTTGTACACACCATGTTTGTTTTGGGTGGAGGAAACATCTGACAATAATTCTAATTTGGCTCCTGATAAAAAAAAACTCATACTTGCCAACCTTGAGACCTCAGAAGTCGGGAGCATTTCAAAACCACCGCGGGGATGGGGGGGTGCTAGTGGATCGCCAGAGCTGTTAGATCAACATTAACATGCTCATTGTAGTTCTAAGTGCACTGCCTTGTGGCCTGTAGCACCATCCTTGATGGAGCATATGGAAAGGAGTGAGCAGAGAGTAGAGTTGTCGTTTCTTCTTCTGTTTTCTGTGACTATCTTCCTCACCCTCTCAGACTTTCAGTTGCGCGCGCTACTCAAGAGACGCGCTACCATGAAAACCAAACAATGGTGTAGCTGTATTAAAGTCCGAGTGGAAACAGTCGTGAGTAAATCTGATTTGGTCAGAAAACGGGAGAAATATGACCCCGGGAGGAAACCGGGAGGGAGCAATGAAATCGGGAGTCTCCCACGAAAATCGGGAGGGTTGGCAAGTATGCCTCCTGAATGTCTCGATGTGACGTTATCAGAGGAACAAGTTGAGCAAACTTATTTGAGACAGTAATTCCTTTTGTTGTTACAATTTGAAATTGCGTGGTCAGGTTGTTTTGGAAACCTCTATAATGTATATCTTGTTATTGATGTACACTTAATCCATTCTTATAGGGGATTCTCACCTCAATGAGTGCAATAACAAGTCCCATGATCCCATGCTTCTTTACAACACCACAAAGTTGTGTCTTTTGTTATTGCTTTGAGTAGGAGAACTATGTTGGCAGAAAATTGGATAATTTGCATTTGAACTTTCCACCTTGTTTTCCCGCCAGACGCTGCACTGTGTGAACCCAGAGAATGAGAACGCCCAAGAGGTGACGGTCAAGTGTCTGAACTGCGACACCATCACTCAGGTCAAGGAGAAGCTGCTCGATGCGGTGTACAAAGGCAGCCCCGACTCACAGAGGCCCAAAGCCTCTGATATGGACCTGGGTAAGAGCCTCAGTACTGTACCTGCATGCATATTCTAAACTGTATGATACACAGCTGTAGTAACTGACCAAGATTATGTAAACTTCTGATTCCTCTTCCTGAAGAATGGCGCCAAGGTCGGATGGCCAGAATCATTCTGCAAGATGAAGATGTCACCACTAAAATCGACAATGACTGGAAACGACTCAACACTCTGGCTCACTATCAGGTACAGACGAGCACCAAAAGCAGCCACGAGCCAGAGTTTGAACAGCTAGGCTGGTTCATCCACTGAATATTCCTGTGTGTGTTCTGGTGTTCAGGTTACAGATGGCTCACTGATCGCCCTGGTGCCAAAGCAGAACTCTGCCTATAACATCTCCAACTCCTCCACCTTCACCAAGAGCCTCAGCAGATATGGTGAGACCTCCATTCTCCATTTCACTTGACCCTATTTAAATCATTCTGTCACTGATTCCCATCCCACCCCCCCAAGTCCTCTCACTCCTCCATTTGCTCTTTGGTTATCGTGGCCATGATTGGGCTCCATTCTTTGTGAATGGCAATCCTTTTTTTATCCACCGCTATCAGCCCAGGCCAAGGCTATTTCAGGGCCACTTCCAAGCAGCCCGTGAATGACAGGCATTAAAGTAGACACCTCGATACCTAGCTGACGGAGTGTAAGAGAGAAAGAGAGAACACCTGGCACTCAGCGATAGTCAGAGGCCCTGCATCAATATGGTAGACTTCACTGGACAATTCAACTATTTAAAAGATAAATGACTGATACAAAATGGGTTGTAACACTCAGGCATGCAATGCTGTAATCATTGTTACTGATCTAGAATAGACTAACAGCAACCTGGATTCCTTATAAAAGTAACATATCAAATGAAGGTTAGTATATCCATCTTTTTTATCCATGTGTAATATGAAAAGAATATACCTTCTCAGGTATCATTTGTACCTTTATTGGACACTGTAGCAATAGACAGGAAACGGGTCGAACATGCGACAAACAGCCCTTCATTTATGCATTAGGCATTCTAACCATTATGCTTCTGAGCACCCCAAAACAGGCATGAGCTTTTTCCGTTGTGGGCCGTTTTTGATGATTATATACTGAAAATAGCAGGAGAGTGAGACCGCTTTTTTTCCCCACCAATCCAATGTCTGTATTTAGGCCCTTGAACAATTAGGGCCGTAAAATCAGTTCCATTATTTAATTATTTTCTTATTATTTTAGATGAATAACTCTTTGAACTGCCTTTTAGGAATTTGGAATCATCCACAGTTAGTTTTTTCCTGCGTTTCTCCTGTATTAACCCTTAACTTGTATACGTGAGGAAACTGAACAGAAACAATAAATAGGCAGACTGGAAACCAAAACAAAAAGCTGAAAGACGCAAAATAATGTAGTTGAATAATAATTATTCACGTTACACCAATGTGCAATGCGGTTTAGTGTAAATATATAAATAGTGCTCATAGACATGTATAAGTCTTGACAAACAAGTACCTCAGATTCTATGGTATGCTGTTGAGCCTATCTTGTTAGAGCTGACTTGACATAAATAAGAATTCAAACATTCTAATAAACGCAACACTGAAAATGATATGTCTTGAAATCAACATGTTTTACCGTCTTACCTTGCTCAAATGCACAGCTGTAGCTATTTTGCTTCACAGCGAATACATCTTTAAAACGATATGATTGTGGAGGTGTGTGTGTGCTTGTGCATGAATATGTGTGTGTAGGAGTGGGTGTGTTTATGAGCACGGGTAAATGTTGGTCACCAGTGGCCATGATGGGTTTGGAATCAAAGCCACTCAGCATCACGAGAGCAACAGCAATAGAACCACCCCACTCTTCTATCCCCTGCTCCCCCGTTACTCTCCCTTTCACCCCTCTCTCTCCCACTCACCTTTTTGTCCCTCTGTCCACTTAGCTCACCCACCCCCCTCTTGTCCTGTCATCTCCGCTCCGTCCTTTCACCACGTAGAGAGGCATTGCAACATGCATCAGCAGCTGTGTTTCTTTCATCTTCCCTATCCCTCCTTTCCCACGAGCAACAGCTAGTCAGGAGATTGTCCCGCACCACCACGTCCCGGCTTTCTTTCCCCTCTCCGTGCTAAATGGAACAGTCGCAGATATGCATCTCTTAGCTCCGCTCTAATCAACTTTGACACTCATGCCATGAATAATTAATTAACAGACAGAAAGGAAAAACGGGAGGAGGAGAGGGAGTCACAGTCTGTGAAAGAGAGAGAAAATCATAGAAGAAACACACTCAAGTTTAGGTGATCGACATACAGAATCTGCATGTTTTATTTCTTTATCACCTTACATTTGATTTAGCTAACATTTAATCCAAAGCGACATACATTAAATGCAATCAACCTTCAAGATACAAACTCAAAACAGCAAGGATCCTGCGAGTTTAAAAAAGTGACACCATTGTAAGTGCTACATTAGAAGAGTAGCAGGCCCACTTGCTGGTTTCTGAAACTATATCAAAAGGCTTTAAAAACAAATCAGCGTATTCCTCCAAATAACTCTGTTTTGTGTTTCCGGGTTTAGAGAGTATGCTGAGGACAGCCAGCAGTCCAGACAGCCTACGATCCCGAACCCCCATGATCACTCCTGACCTGGAGAGTGGAACCAAATTGTGGCATCTGGTGAAGAACCACGACCACTCGGACCAGAGGGAGGGGGACCGAGGCAGCAAGATGGTGTCTGAGATCTACCTGACCAGGCTGCTAGCTACAAAAGTAAGGAGGAAACTTCACACTCGTGTCTTTTACAGTCAGGCTGGGAAAAAACCCTGAAACTGCACTTGAGACCATTGGAGAGCAGTAAAACTCCCCACTGAAACTCCGCCTAATGGAATATCTTCAGCGTTATCAGCTCTTTAAGGCGAAGGGATCCACCTCACATATTTGATGGTCTAGGACACGACTTTTAAAGAGAGCCTGCAGGTCATTGAGGAGTCTTAAAATGTTTTAAATCACATCAGAATGTAAGGTTCTCATATACCAGGTAAAGGTATATACATATAACATTTACATGAATTAATGCTATTGTCCCAAGCACTATACTGAACACATTAGTTACAATAAAGTTCCACAATAGATCAGGTATCACAATGTTCAATTCAAACTGCTTTAAAGTTGCAGCAGGTGCATTAGGTGACACATCAATCTATAGAAAAGAGCCATTTTCATAAGCCTTGGTACAGTGCTTGACTATCTTCAATTAAATAAATAAAATGTAATAGATTCTTACAGCGGCTTCCTTCTGTACGCAACTATTATAGAGGTTGTTTTAACTTTTTTAAGTTAAAACAAACTGCCTGTTATGGAAACCTTAATGTAGATATCAGAATACTGTACATTTTCGTTGGCAAGCAAAAATGTTGCCCTTGAAAATGATAGTCCTCTTCATGTTAGTGCTGTTTCAATCCTAAAGGCCAAAAGAGGCTCAGGTATTTAAAGGTGGGGTATGTAATTTATTTCAGAAACACTTTTTGTTATATTCCATGGAATGCTCTTAACGTCCCGATAGCAATGAATATATTAAATGCTTTGACAAAAAATCCATAAACAAATGTCATCTGTGGAAGCCGTAGTGCTGTAAAAAGCACGACCAATCATCTGAGCCGGCCCGGCTAAAGTAACTGGATGGCCTACCTGCCTGTCAGCCTTCCATCTGTGCACAAACTTATCTCGTGCCCTCATTGGTCATGTGCGCGTTCGTGTGTGTTGGAGGAGGGGCTCTGTAAGGAATTCTAACGCACTCGAGCTGGTTTCTCCAAAATTACATAACCCACCATTAAGTATATTTAAGTGTGCTATATCCCAAGTGCCGTGCTAGTAGCTGCTGTAGGAGAGCATAACACATTTAAAGATAAAACTGTTTAAGCAGATAATCAAGTAAAAGGTGGTTGCATACGGTATATTGACATAGGAAAAGGACCAAGCACTAATCCTTGCCGAACCACAATGGAAAGAAAGTGATGTTTTTTCCTTCCCAGGCTGAACAATCATGGAACAAATGGCAGTTTGAGTACAATTTACACTATTGTAATTATAATGGTTTGGTTTTAGTGTAGACAATTTGAGCAGTAGGGGTAACTTGAGCCTGATTTTGCATTGTGGAAAAAGTATCCAAAGCCAGTGAAGCACTTATCATCTTTGCGACCACAGGTGTTGTTATGGGTGGCGTGGAAGGGTGTATTGTATTGTAGTACATTCTTGATTGATGATGAAGCTTAATCATGTTTTTGATTTACATTACATTATTACATTACATTGCATTTAGCTGATGCTTTTATCCAAAGCGACATACAATAAGTGCGTTCGACCAACAAAATACAAACTTGAAGAAAACAGAATCATATAAGTACATCAGGCTTCATAGAGCAAAAACATTTCAAGTGCTACTCAACTGGCTTTAGATAAGCAAGCCCTTTATTAGTATATAAGTGCTTTGTTAATAGTTCTATCGCTCGAAGTGGAGTTGAAAGAGATGAGTTTTCAGTCGGAAGATGTGTAAGCTATCTGCTGTCCTGATGTCAATGGGGAGCTCATTCCACCATCTTGGAGCCAGGATAGCAAACCCACGTGTTTTTGCTGATGGGAACTTGGGTCCCCTTCGCAGCGAGGGTGCAGCGAGACGTTTGGTTGATGCAGAGCGGAGTGCACGTGCTGGGGTGTACGGTTTAACCATGTCCTGGATGTAGGAAGGGCCAGATCCATTCGCAGCATGGTACGCAAGTAACATTGTCTTGAAGTGGATTTTAGCAGTTATCGGAAGCCAGTGAAGGCAGCGGAGGAGCGGCGTGGTGTGGGAGAATTTAGGAAGGTTGAAGACCAGGCGAGCAGCTGCATTCTGGATGAGCTGCAGAGGTCGGATGGCACATGCAGGTAGACCAGCCAGGAGGGAGTTGCAGTAGTCTAGGCGTGAGATGACGAGAGCCTGGACCAGAACCTGCGTCGCTTTTTGGGTCAGCTGGGGACATATCTTCCTGATGTTGTAAAGCGTGTATCTGCAGCAGCGGGTTGTAGCAGCGATGTTTGCAGTGAAGGACAGGTTGTTATCTAGGGTCACACCCAGATTCCTTGCAGTCTGAGTCGGGGAAACAACTGAGGTGCCAATGTTGATTGTTAGGTCAAGAGTGGGACAATCTTTTCCCGGAAGGAAGAGCAGTTCAGTCTTGTCAAGGTTGAGCTTGAGGTGATGATCAGACATCCACTGAGAGATGTCAGCTAGACAAGCAGAGATGCGTGCCACGACCTGGGTCTCTGAGCGGGGAAAGGACAGAATTAATTGGGTGTCGTCAGCGTAGCAGTGGTATGAAAAACCATGCGGGCTAATGACTGATCCGAGCGAGTTTGTGTACAAGGAGAAGAGGAGGGGACCAAGAACAGAGCCATGAGGGACCCCTGTAGTTAATTGACAAGGGTCGGACTCTGACCCTCTCCAAGTAACCCTGTAGGTGCGGTCTTTGAGGTATGAGGTGAGGAGGGAAAGTGCAGAGCCTGAAACTCCAAGTGCTTGGAGAGTGCGAAGGAGGATCTGATGGTTCACCGTGTCGAATGCAGCAGACAGGTCCAAAAGGATGATGACAGAGGAGAGGGAGGCTGCTTTAGCAGTGTGCAGTTCCTCAGTGACAGCATTAGGGCAGTTTCTGTTGAGTGACCTGCCTTGAAACCAGACTGGTGCGGATCCAGAAGGTTGTTCTGATGGAGATAACAGGAGAGTTGTTTAAAGACAGCGCGTTCAAGTGTTTTAGACAGGAACGGGAGGAGAGAGACAGGCCTGTAGTTTATAACATCTGACGGGTTGAGAGTGGGTTTCTTTAGGAGAGGGTTTACTCTTGCCTCCTTGAGACTGTTTGGAAAGTGACCAGAAGTTAGAGAAGTGTTGATGAAATGGGTGAGAAACGGTAGAATATCAGGAGCGATAGTCTGAAGGAGGTTTGAAGGGATAGGGTCCAGAGGACAGGTGGTAGGGCGGGCAGAGGTAATGAGGGTAAGAACCTCACTTGGAGAGAGAGGGGAAAAGGAGGTTAGTGTGTTGGTGAAAGGAGGGTCTGGTGACCCAGCGGTGAGTAGAGGTGAGTCAGAAAAAGAAGAGCGAATATCATCAACCTTTTTTTCAAAGTGGTTAGCAAAGTCGCTTGACAGAAGTGAGGAGGGGGAAGGGGCTTTGGGGGGGTCTATGAGGGAGGAGAAGATGGAAAATAGTTTTTTGGGATTGGAATAGGAAGATTGGATCTTATCTTGAAAGAAAGTGCTTTTTGCCTGAGAGATCGAAGCAGAGAAAGAGGAGAGGAGAGCCTGATAGGTTAGGAGGTCGTCACAGTGTTTGGATTTCCACCATTTCCGCTCTGCTGCCCTAAGGACGGTTCTATTAGCACGCAGTGCATCATTTAGCCAGGGAGCAGGAGGGGACTGACGAGCCTGCCGAGATGTGAGAGGACAGAGCGAGTCCAGAGAGGATGAGAGAGTAGAGAGGAGAGTTTCTGCAGCAGAGTTTGGAGGCAGGAGTTGGAACGAGTCAGAGGAAGGGAGGGCTGAGAGCACCGATGAGGCAAAGGTAGAGGGGGAGAGGGAACGAAGGTTACAGCGGACAGGTGCAGGATGGGAAGAGATTAGTTTGTTATGTTTGGAAAGGGGTAGAGAGAATGAAATGAAGAAGTGATCGGATGTGTGGAGCGGGTTTACAGAGAGGTTAGCAGTTCCTTGAGAATATGAGATCAAGGACATTGCCAGCTTTATGAGTCGGTGGGGACGGAGAGAGTGAGAAAGCAAAGGCGGTTAACAGAGATGTTAGTTCATCTATCTTCCCCGTCTGGACGTTGAAGTCTCCGAGAAGTACAGCGGGAGGGCCAGTTTCAGGGATGTGTGAGAGGAGATGATCTAAATTCCTCCAAGAAGTCCCCCAAGGCGCCTGGTGGACGGTAGAGAACAACAATGGTTAATTGTATAGGATGGGTTACTGTGACGGCATGGAATTCAAAGGTGGAAGGAGTGAAGTTAGGTAGCTTGAAGAGGGAAAAGCTCCATTTGGGAGAGAGCAGGAGACCAGTGCCACCTCCTCTGCCAGTGGGTCTGGGTGTATGGGAGAAGGAATATGCAGTGGAGAGAGCTGCTGGGGTGGATGTGTTGGATGGAGTAATCCAGGTCTCAGTGAGAGCAAGGAAATCCAGAGACTGCAGGGAGGCGTAGCCAGAGATGAAGTCAGCCTTAGGAACAGCTGACTGGCAATTCCACAGGCCACCTGAAACTAGATGTTGGATCTCAGTGGAGCATGTGGGATAGACGAGAGCAGGCCGGTTATATCGATTACGAGATACACGGGGCCAGTGATAATTGCGAGAAGACACATAAACAGGAATGGAGAAAATACACATGATTATAGCATGAGGGGCTAAACAACCAAAGAAAATAAAACACCAGCAATACTCAATCAGAGTAGGATTTGCCTCCTCTTTGCCTCCCTCGTGACTCCTGCAGGACTCTAATGTCTTTGCCAGTCTTACTCCTGCAGGACTCTAATGTCTTTGCCAGTCTGACGCTGAAGCTGAAGCTGACGCTCCAGGAAAGTGCTACCTAAAATGGACACCTGATTGCTGAGTTCTCACAGCTGTGGGGCAACGTCCCTTTAATTAGTTAACTCTCTGCAGCTGGTGGCCCTCAAAAGGAAATCTAGACTGGCTTCCTCCTGATTTGTTATTGTCTTTTAAGTCAATTACATTAAACCCTAAGTTATAAAGTTATGAGTTTAACCCTTAATACCAAACCAAATAGTGTAAAACAAAAGGATCCATTGGATACACACACACCCACATGGATAAACAGACTCATCTTGTCCATTTTGGATCCTTGCAACTTTCCTTTTCACCTTCAGTGTCTCTCAATTCATTGGGTGCGTCTCACTTCGGTTATTTTAATTTCCTCGCTCCTTGGTCCTCGGTATTACCAGAAGTTGATTTGTCTGCGCCATCTTGAGTAGCATCCCAGTGGCCTTATTTGTGCCGGAGGACCGAGGAGCGATAATCAAGGAACTACCAGACCACCCTCCGGTGAAATCCTCAGACACTCGCCCCGCTCCCTTACTGTGTATCGCTCACTGATCTGGCTGCTGTCAGATGATCAGCTGTGCGGCGTCATCACAAACGGACGTCGCTTCACGTGACGCTCCGGAGGAAAGGACGTCCCATTGCTCTTAAAACTCATTTCCCTGCTTCTCGTGGTTTTGTTGCGTCTCTCCATGCTTCCCTGGTGGGAGGGAATAAACGCAGGGAAACGACGCAGGTGACGGACGCAAGGATTCCATTTAACCGAAGTGAAACGCACCTAATGTCTTCATTGTAAGAGGGGGATGGAAATGTAGCAATGGGCAGCATTTACAAGAGAGCACGCTTTTCAATTTCCACTGGTAATAAGAAGAAACAGATTAATAAAAATGCGCCTGTGGTGCAGAGTGCAGGGATGCAGATACAGGAGGTGTCAGGAGACAGGTTGTTTGTTGAGGGATTGAAGATTTGGCTGTGTAGGGTTAGAACAAATAAAAAAGAGGCAATTGAGAAGCTCATTTTTCCATGTCTCTCCTTGTCTGTCTTTCTGCGTCTGTTTGCCTGGGCTTCCCGTCATGCAGATCTCAGTTCTTTGATCTGCAACAGAATTCATTCCTGTTCCATTTGGCTACGGCTGGCTAAATATGATTTCCTCTGTAATAGATTCTGCCAGATGGGAAAGAGTGGGAAACAAATGTGTTGTTAGGGAAATTCGTTTAGCTTTATTTCATTTGATTATGTTGAAGCATTGTCATTGGTGGAAGAGCCTGCGTTCCTGTTTGTGATTCTGCAGAGCGAGGCAGTCACACAGCCACAGTTATAGCTGTGATTCCCATTGGGGTCATTCATATTAAAATACACATGCTAATGGCCCATTCAGGTACTGCGATACAAGTGGCTGGAAATGGTTGACTTTATTCTGTCACACTACACAGTGAAACTATAATTATTTGTATTCTTTACCGTCTCTCTGAGATTTCTTAAGATGATGTTATTGTAATTAACAGCAGTATAACAAATCTAAGTGAGCAGTGTTTTTGAGGGTGGCTGGATTATTCACGAGTACCAACACAAAGGTTCTCTAAACATGAATGACCAATATCAATATATTTAATACAAACTTAACGATAAACCCTTTAAAAACAAAGGTCAAAGTTGCCATTATAAGGCCAAAACTAAATGAAACATTAGGTGCTATTTATTATTATTTTTCTTATTAATCTTCTTAATTGTATAAATAAAAATATATATTTCAAGTATGTGTTCTATGATGATTTATTTTGTCCTATTTTAATTTAGATATTTTTCGTTTAGGTAAAAAAACTCTCTTGGATTTTAGGCATACAATCGAATGCATTGATAGAAAACAACACTAAACTCAATTCCATATTAAGACTGGTCACATAATTGAGAGAACTATTTGAACAGCATGAAAACAAACTACAGTGTAATCTTAATGTCCCTTGTTTCCTCTCCCTCCTCGTCCTTCCCTTCAGGGCACGCTGCAGAAGTTTGTGGACGACCTGTTTGAGACCATCTTCAGCACGGCACACAGAGGCAGCGCTCTGCCGCTGGCCATCAAGTACATGTTCGACTTCCTGGACGAGCAGGCCGACAAACACTCCATCACAGACTACGATGTACGGCATACCTGGAAGAGCAACTGGTGAGTGACATTTTTTGTTTGTTTTTTGTCAGCTCCAGCAGTACTTTGCCTGAAGGCACTTACTGAGCAAGATATTTACAATATAAACCATCAGAAAAAAGCTTTAATGCACACAAAGTGATGTATTATAGACAACATTAGAAAAAGCAACCGTAGCATTCAGTTACTTCCAATTATGTTTTATTAAAGCATGCTCTTATCGCATATTTCTAAGTTACATTCAACCATCCGTTGTTACTTTCTTTTCTTAAATGCCTCTCCAGTCTTCCTCTGCGGTTCTGGGTGAACGTCATCAAGAACCCTCAGTTTGTATTCGACATCCACAAGAACAGTATCACGGACGCTTGCCTGTCTGTGGTGGCCCAGACTTTCATGGACTCCTGTTCGACGTCAGAACACAAACTGGGAAAAGACTCACCTTCAAATAAGCTTCTCTACGCTAAAGACATCCCCAACTACAAGAACTGGGTGGAAAGGTAAGTTAAACACAGTAAGAATGACATTCAGTGCGATATTAAAGTAAAGCTGAAGTGAGAAAGCTCCATATGAGATGTTTGAAGCCGGGAGGGTTGACTAATGCCTCAACTTCAAGGAGAAGTGAGTTAGTGTGGCGAAAGTTAATTACACTTCCAAACTACTAAGCTACAAATAACTGTGAGATTATGAGAACTTAACAGGTTGAACTTTATCTGAAGCTCACATTTGAAGCCTTTCACTGGAGTCAGAGTTTTATTAAATTAGCGTGACGAAATCCTGTACTGTAATTACAGCTTGCTCCAGGCCCGTGAATATCAAATAGGGAGTGAAGAAAATGTCTGTAAAACCAGTTCTATCAGTTACATTTTTTACTTAAAAATGTCCCTTTTGACTTCGCCTGTGAAGAAGCAAGAGATGTAAACAGAAAACAAAAGTGAATGATGGAATGTTAGCAACGGTTTCTTCTTTTCTTGCTGACTGAAAAACGTCCTCTAGTTCACCCTTCATATTTTATTCAGGTCCAGGAAGTCTAACTAAACCCTGGATAAGTTATGCACTTGCACGCATGTTTGTTGTCTCTGCTTTATGGGGAAGCGTCCAACAGTAGCTTGGGCAATGTAAAGCAGCTCCTAACACAGAATTCATTCATATTGTAAGAAATAATTAAGGAGACAGTATTTGTTCTGATACAGACAGTGCCAAAAACTAAGATTAGCAACCGCTGATGATTCAAAAAAGAGGGATACAATTAAATGAATTGTATATTACATCACTATTGTGCATTCTCCCTTGTTTTGGTTGCTGCAGGAGCTTAAACAGAGCAGACAATTATCCTGCCAATTCCTCTATTTATTTCCAGCATCATACTTGAGGGTGCTACAGTAAGTCCTATAAGGCTTGCAGGGAGTGTTTGCAGGCGGTGTGAGATAAGGATTTATAGGTGATGGTTAATTGGGTGCAGTTAAACCTTGTTTCTATTATGCCTCCTAACCCGCACTCAACCCCGCGCTGCCCGCTGCAGTAAACCTTGAGATAGCTGAGATATGGATTCTGCAAAACAGGTCTGGGTTCAGCTCAATATCAGGATATACTCTTAATATACTCTATTGTTTTCTGGCGGCAAGTCCAATAGACGTTTTACTCGGAGGATAATGTGAAGCTTGTTGCTGCTCAGGCCGCATGGACCTCAATAATGCACTCAGACATAATAATAAGGGACTGTATTCAAATGATCAGGAAAGAGACGAAGGCTGAATCTTCTCTGTCAGTACACTCCATTACATCTTTTATTATCTACTGATATTTGTTTCAAATGCACAAAAAGAAAAGACAAGGAATTCAACCATGCAAATGTGAAATGCATGTTAAGAGAATAACAACTTTAACAATATAAGATATGTTATTCTACTGATGATATGGTAAATACACTATATGTTTTGTAATAGTATATACATTGGATAAATTATATCGATAATGAAAAATAGAATAAATGAAGAGATGGTAATGGGATCTTAAATAAACACTAAATAGAGAGCTCCTAGATGATCAGTTATTAAATCCAGTGTATGAGTCTGGTTAAAAAAAAACATTGTTGCGGCTAATGCATTTGAGCACAATATTTTAGCACCATCCTGAATTCCAAAAAGTTCAAATGTATATGAATTTAATGAGATTATCCTATAGTGTAATATGTAAAAATCATCGAAAATGTTGACTATCATAACTAAACCAGTTTTGCCTGAGGTGTTACTCAAAGCAGACAGTTATTGCCTCGGGCATATATCTCTTTATTTTTCATTTCTCACAAGGGTAGTCAAATATAAAGCTGGCGTCATGCAAAGTTAAAGGACCCTCCCTGACTACAAAGAACTTAAGCTAAAAATCCCATATTCTTACACTGACTTGCACTAAAAACATATATGTTTAATCTTAGAAAGTCAGGCATGTATAAAGGGAACTGGAAACAGCATTGGAGGCGGGGCCCCGTTTATTCCTATGAAAGTTGCTCAGTGGCGCACAAAGTCAAAATGGCCTGACAGTCTAGTACAAAAAAACGGATCATCAAGGGATCTGGGACCAGACAGCATCTTTATCACAATGTTAGTCAATGGGAAAAGTCTTAATGGGCCCTAATGACAACGGTGACTCACACAGAAGTTGTAATACCGCCGGTTGGCCACCACAAAACCCTTTCTTCAGCTGCCAGCTCACTTCCTTGGCGTTTCTTTGCCGTCCACTCCTCTTGTCCTTGAACAAGATACTGCAACATCAATTCAACATGGAAAGTGCTCGCCAGCTGCCTGTTTGCAAACCAGTAGGTGAAGTTTTGGATGGAATAAAAAGGGTTCGGGACATTAAACTCTTTCTGACCTCTCCTCTAGGTATTACTCGGATATCTCCCGCATGCCAGTCATCAGTGATCAGGACATGAGTGCCTACCTGGCAGAGCAGTCCCGCCTGCACGTCAGCCAGTTCAACAGTATGTCGGCGCTGCACGAGATCTACTCCTACATCATCAAATACAAAGATGAGGTGAGCTCCAGTGTGATCAAATGGAATGGAAAAGAACGGGGTTAGCTTTCTGTGATCCCCCATCTACTTGTTTTGACTAATGCCATGAGGTCATTTGAATTCAATTACACTGATAAGTAACCAGTGGTAAGGGCTGGAAGGAATTATCACCATTAGGGTGCACATTAGGGGATGAGCTTACCACATTATGGAGCTAATGGAGCTTCATTAGATGGGACTTGCATGCACAGTCCGATAGCTGCTGCTGGTTGATTACAACTGGACGTTTGGGTTCAAAATCAGGATTGTGTGTGCAGTGTTCATCTGTTAGTGGAATAGTTTGTCATTTTGAGGTGTACACTCATTTGCTTTTTTTAATAAGATTTAGACCAGAAGATTGATACGAATTTGATCATAGCGGTCTTGTTAAACAAACAAAACAAAAGAAATGTTCTTGTTTTAGTTTTCTTAGCTGGACACATTTACTTCCTGAAGTTTCCGCCGGGCGCTCCCAGTGTTAATAAGGTCAACAAAAACAATGACTAATTGTCTAAGACTAGACAATGTCGAGAAGGTGAAGGTGTAATGACAGAGTAACTGTGATTGCATCAACATGCAATATTGTTGACAAAAAAAGACTGAAATGTAGTTTGAATAATAAAAACTTTAGCAAAATGTCTCTTTTTTTGTTGACAAAAACATCTTGGTTGTATAGTATTAAAGTATACCCAGATTCATTTAAATAAAACAGGATGCCTTTAACTACGTTTGATTAAAAATAACTGAAAAGGACATTTGACATAAGAATAAATAACAAAACTAATTTGCTATCTATCACTGGTTTATTTACAACTTCACATCATCGACAAGAGAAGACATATAAGTACACACATATATAAAGGTGACCAAGCCTTTGTTTTGACGGCAAATTATAATAAAAACACTGATAATCAAAGAGGTGATCGACAGACCGCTGTATCAAAAACAGATGTGCTCTGGTCGGATTACTCTGATATCCTCTGTCTAAACATAACCACTTCCTCTCCTCATGCATGCATCTAGCCCAGGGGTCTGCAACCTTTTTGACCAATTGTTTTTGTCTGGAGCCGCAACACATATTTGATGGCTTGATAGCTTATAAAGTTGTATATATTGTTACATCATAGACAAAAACTACAGTTTTTTGTATTTATTATTTATTACATTATAGAAAACTGTTTACCTCTAATAATAAACAAAGAACTCTTATAAGGATAATACAAAAATACACGCCTACTTTAAAATAAATCAACACAGCACTTGGCCTGCAAGACAAGGCGCTGGTGCGGGACCGTAGCAGGATATAACCGTTTTGTTTTTCATGTGTCACAGTATCACCTCAAAATACAAGATCAAAATAGTCCTGCAAATATTTTTATTTTATTTCCTTCTTATTTTTGTCTAAGCTCAAGGGAGCCAGAGTAGAGGGCTTAAAGAACCGCATGCGGCTCGAGAGCCGCGGGTTGCCGACCCCTGATCTAACCAATCTTGCATTTGCTAGAAGGAGAAAATAATCCAAAAAGTGTGTATTCTTGGTGCTTTGGGCCTTCAGAACAACCTTTGTTAGGACTAATGGAGCGCTTGGTCCAATGAGACTGAGTGTTGGGGTTATGAAGTAATGGGCTATCGCAACAATGGGCACAATGATCATTATTGCATTTTGCATGCATTTTTTTACAAGTATTTAACGAACAAGATGTAACATGTTAATTACTTGGTTATTATCCTCCCTCCTTTCCATCGCTGTACATTCTGAAACCGTAATTCACCGCGTTTAATATCCCACCCTCGACTTCTACCCTCTTCCTGTTCCCTATAGGCAAATCTATTCCCACATGAACCTTTGCTTTCCTCAACTTTATCGTGCTTTTATTTAGTGAAAGGTTCCATCAGCCACTACCCCTCCTCCTTCCTCCTGCCCATCCCTCAATAGCAACAGTATTACAGTTGTTATGCTGGCTGCTTGCAGCTGGCTCCATTCAAACCAACTGCTCCCCTTCATTAAAGCCTATTATCCAGATGTAGGCAGCTGCACGGTCTCCATCGCCTCTACCACATGCCCTGACCTAACACACACACACACACAGGCATAAATATATACAAGCATGCCTAATAACTCACATACACACATTTACCAGAATGTCGCACACATAAGTACAGTATTTCTTTCAAACACTGCAACAGCTCCTCCCGCCATTGTTGATGTCATACTTAATAAGATGCCAAAACACTCCTGTACACACTCCCATTAATATGCCATTATAGAAATCCCGCTGGCCCTCACACCTGCCCCCCCTCCCCCGCCAACCTTGTCCATGTTGTCAGCATCAGTTTGAAATGCAATCACTTACAGAGAAACTGAAATAAGCAGCAGAGCGCAGAAAAGCTGGTGCATCTAAGCAACAACACATTTGGGGTTAAGAAGCTCCATGCTATAGGATTGAAATAAGGGATAAAATAAATATCTCTCCCACAAAATAATCATTTGTATAACAAATACTCACCCTGTGCTTTGACGGCGAAAGAACAATCCAAAGACTGAGAAAGGACCTAGATGAATTCAAGTCTGCCGCTTTAACCACTGAAAAATATACTCAACGATCAGTTCACTAATTCTCACAGACTAAGGCTGCACTCGCATGATACACGATTGGCTATTTTCTCAACGCACGGTTGGGAGCATAGTCGTGCGATGAAAACATCCTGTTAGTTTCATTTGTACCGTTACCTCACCTGCTAGCTAGCACCGCTACTTACAGCTGTCTGATTGATTGCATGTCGAAAGGTCGGTGGTGAACAAGGTCAATGTTGACATAAATTGAACTTTGAACGGTGCCCTCAGGAAGAAGTTCGAGCAGTACACAGCTACGAGGATAGCGCTTCCGCCAAGTTGGCAGCACCGCTCTTTTCAAAAAACACAACGACAACGTCAGTGCATAGCCATTTTCTGCGTATCATGTGAATGCAGCTCTAGGCATAAATAGTACTGGTGGAATAAAGGGTGAGACGGAGGGGGTCGTGATAAAATAAAGCAAGTTCCACTACTTGTGCAGTTTAATCGGTCCAATGCTAACTGAAGCTAACATGCTAAAAACGTTGTGTGGGCAGCTGGTTCCCTCGTTGTCTCATAGGGTTTCTAGTTAGCATACAACTTATAATTCTGCACAAGTTGTGTGTACGTTTGTATATAGATGTCTTCTTAGTTTTTGTACTTTTTTTTCTGAAGTAATTAAATTAACTGGTGAAATGATATAGTAAATAAGTAACTCATGAAATGAAGTAATTGATGTTTAAATAATATACCTTATAGTATTTCTTTATTGTGTCATGATTTAATGTAATTTAATCCATATTTGTGTCCAGATCCTGTCGGAGTTACAAAAGGACGAGCAGTCGCGCAGACAGCGGCTACGCGGCAAGCTGGAACAGGTCATTGACACCATGGCGCTGGCTAGCTGAGGACCGGCCAATAGCATGCCTCGGCTAGGGGAGAACTGGCCAACCAACACGCCTTCCCTGACAACCTTGTGACATTTTTTAAACCTCTACATTTGAAGTCTGTCGTCATCACGCTCACAAACAACGGCAGCAGGAAAAGACTGCAGGGACGCCAGCAGCAGCACACTGGAGAGATAGCAGAGTTGGGAACTAAGGGTTGGCTTTTATTTTTTTCTCTGAGCCCCGAACAACCAAATCAAGCGCACCCACAGTGGATATGGACCTCAGCTCAGGAGAGCGCTTATTTTCATCATGGCCCCCATCACATTTAGAGTCCTACGGGTGCAGCAGTTGGGCACTTTGGCCCCAATCAGGACCGGAACAGGCACATTGGTGACCAAAAACTCAACGAGCTGGATATAAAACTAAAAAGCTATGGGAAAGCCAGTAGCTCTCCACAGCTTAAAGCTACGGTTCAGACTGAGAACCAATCAAAATCCAGGATATATAAAGCTGCCGCGACTGCAGAGCAACCAGAAGGAATTACTTTGCAGGGAAACTTCCTCCAGTACGGACTCTCCAACCCTCTATCCACAGGAAATCCACTGAAGTCTAACAAAGAACATGTTCAGTTTCATAACTCTGCATTTGATCCCCCCCCCCCACTGGCTATTCTCCCCAGTGCTGTGCCACTTGTGTTACTGCTGAATTTGCACAACAAAGCTAAATCAAAAGAGAGAGGAGGATATATGAATATATATATATATAGATATATAAATACAAAACATTTTGTTGAAGAAAAAATGTTTTCCATTTTAATGTACAAAAGATTGAGAAGAAGATTTGATATTTCCAAGAAAAAACATTATGAAAAGAAGAGGAAAAAGTCGTCCTGTGCCATGTTTTACTTTGAATGTCGTTTAGTGCAAAGAGACTTCTTTTTCGTTAGATGAAATGTGCTATGATGAAAAATGTTGTCATGCTTTGTGACTGACAGTGAGAGTTTAAAAATAGGTAAATGGCAAAAATATATATATTACAGACAGTTTCTATATTTCATGAGGTCCTGGGACCTTTGTGTGCTACGTTCTTGGCTCTTAAGGTAGTAAAAATACAATTGGTGTACGTGAGCCGACCACCCTTCAGTGCTTTGTGCTTGTTTTAGAGGAACCAAATACACCAAGGCCTGGTTTAGCTGATTGAAATGACAGTAAAGTCATTTTGTGGAAGCAAGGAACAACTTTAGAGGCAGCAGGTGGTCATATGAACAGTTGAATCCAGCTTCTTCATCTTGTCGGCTTCTCTTGTCTGAAAATGTGTGCACGCCGAAAACGAAGGTCTGCAGAAGAAGGTGAACCAGTATTGTCTCATATCTGACTTGTTTTCTGGTAAAAACGGTAAAGCTCAAGGTTCCACTTTTGAAATGTGAATGTGGTTTTAAGTGTGTTTGTACCAGTTGAAGGCCTTTCTTTTCTTTTCTTTTCCTTTTCGTCGTTTCATAAGGATACAAAAAGCAGCGTTTCTTTCCAATGGGTCCACATTTCCTTGCAGTGCTTCAAAAAACATTCATAAACAAGAGATAGGAATAACCAGATTACGACTCCTGTACTTATCCCTGAATGTTTGGTTTAGAAAAACTAATAGCAAAAAAAGTGACAAATGTAGGATCAAATGCAGCACAACACGATTTTCAAGGAAACTGTTACAGGTGCCTCAAAATGATTTTCCTTTCCTTCCTCTTCTCAGTGCTTCCCTCTGATTGTGTTCCCCCATGTGAGACAGTGGGAAGTCTTTAATCAGCTGATACCAGACTCCTCTGTTTCAGTCCAGATCAGATAGAAAAGAGCTCTGCAGGTGCATCAGGAACCTTGCTGAAAAATGCCAGTTGTTTCTGACATAGAAATTGTGACTGCAGTGAATCAAAAGAAAACTCCCAGCTTTCAAGCACTTTCACTAAAGACCTGCTCACTTCCTGTTTTGTCATTTCCCAATGCTATCGCATCCAACTAGCATATATTGGATTATTTGCTCATTTCAAGATAGTAAATAAATATAATGTTCTCTGATGGTACATTCACATACTCAAGGAATAATTGTAAACTTAAAAAACCAAACAGTTGTTTAAAAGTAGTTGATAAGTTATATTCAAAATAATACATATTTTGTTTGTTCAAGTGACATTAACCGTAGAAGTAGCTAGCAGTTCTTTAGCACATTTTAAAGCCATCGCCTTCTTTGTTTTTTCCTTTTTTTGTCGGGGTGTACTCACCAGAGTACTTACCAGAGTACTCACCAGAGTACTCTGGTGAGTACACCTGCTGTCAAATGTAAACTCCGGTTTAAAAGTCAATCATTTCCCTATAGATTTAAAATGATTATACAACCCTTTAAAAATCCAGATCTTTAGGTATTAGCCTCTAGTTCTCATCAACGTGCTGTGTTTTGATCTGACAGCAAATATGTGTCTGGACCGAAAGAAATGTACTGCATGTGCTCCAATACTTGAACTACTGATGTACACAGGGTAAAACAACATACAGACCAAAGCTTTATCCATTCAAATCAGGAGAACATCTCCATGACAAGAGATTATTTTTGATCCACCTGCTATTCAGTTCTTCCGCTAATTGATTTGATCACTCAGCTATAGTCATTTAAATACCCCACTCTTTGACGTCATTAAGTGTCTTTATGCTTGATGAATGGTGACATTGAGGTTACTTCCATGTACAACTCATTAACTGTTCAATTTGTATGAATGACATGGACCTCTGTTTCGATGTTTCACTGCATATCACTGGCTTCATTTTTCTTTTGATGGAGATTTGTGACAATGATTTTAGTGGTGTGCAAACAGTAATGAGGCTTAGTTAGTGAGGTAATGTGAAAAAAAGTTCAGTAAGGCACGATAGGAGGCCCATTTGTTCTCTGGTGCCTTTGTTTCTTAGTTTTGCTTCTTTTTTTCTGCTTCAACACTTGTTGGGGTAAAAGATAAAAAGACTTAGGCATGGCAGAGGAAGCGCTTTGAAGGCCATGGTACTGCTTCATTTTAAATTCCGTTGCATCTGTGGCGTTCGACTTCTACACAGAAAGAGACAGTGGTGGAGGAGGGAGGAGGGGGGTGGAGGAAAAGGCTCTCTCGATGATTGGCGAACACAGAACTGTTCACTGCCTTGTCTGGCTCTTCCCATACTGAAAAACATGTATTTTTTAAGAGTGTTACATACTAGTGCAATATTTTTGTGAAATGTGCTCATTTACTTTCTTTCCGAGACTGAGATGAGAAGTAATCCAATGTCAGGACAAGATTAGCCTAGATTAGTGCGCAAAACGAAAGAGCTAACCCGGCTTTGTCCATATATTCAAAAATATGCAATGTTAAATGCTGGCTAATTAAGCGAACCCATTTATTTACCCTTTAGCATACATGATGTCAAATGTTATGTATAAAGTGACATGAAACTATTTTGCGCACAGTGACTAGTCGAGAAAAATTGTGTTTATATTATTATTATTATTATTAATAATTAATTATTATAACAAAATGTGTGTCACCTTACTTGAAACCCTCCCTGCTTTAGCCCTTATGCAAGGCTAACTACAACCTGACATTTACTTAACAGGGTTTAACATGCAGAGAAAATATAGATTGAGGGAGCCATTATCCGGGCGCCGTAATAATGGCAGCCCCCTGCTCCTAACACTAGGATGGGTCAAATGCAGAGAAACCGTTTCGTTACATAGTACCTGTACTACGTAATGACAATAGGTTGAATCTAATCTAATTATCATCCTACTCTTGAAGAAAAAGTGGACAAGAAAGATGTAAGTAGAGTGCAGACCTCCATGGCCAAGGGTATATTTAAGTGCTGGGAAGTATATCTTTAGACAGAAAACAAAACATGGATGGTTAAAAGAAAATGTGTTGTTAATGCTCAGAGCAACAACACTTATTTCTTACCAAGTAGAGAGGATTAATACCAAGAGTCATAACTGTCCGTTAACTGTATGGCTAAAGCCAGGATGTAGTTAGCTAGCTTAGCATAACGACTGGAAACAGTGAAAAGGAGCTAGTTTATTTATGTTGGAAGGTTAAGAAAAGTGTACCACGTGCACTGCTTAGCTATAGCTTGTAGACACACTTTAGCTGGGTTTTTTTACTTTAAGAAAGACCTTGTTTGTTTTTTTTTCCCTGCATCTAGTTGTACTACAAAGCTAAGCTAATCTTAGCGTAGCTATAACTTGCAATTTAGCATACAGATATGACAGTAGTTTTATTATCTTACTCTCAGCAAGAAAGTTAGTAGGAGTGTTTTTTAAAAACGTTAAACTTTTCTTTAGATTAAAAATTAATAATACATCAGGGAACCAACAAAAATGTTTGGTATATTCCGAAAGCCATGTCTAAATATATTCTGACGTGTGTGTGAAATGTACTTGTTTTTCAGTATGTGCTGCACCTTCCAACATGGTGCCTCCTCAGACCCATATAAACACTCCAACGCACAACTTTAATACTCAATGTGCCCTTTATGATCCTCCACAACAGCAACGTTCAGTTTCTCATCCCTCCAGTTCTCTCCGGCTGCCTCACCTGCTGAGTTCACTTTAATTTAAGTACATTTCAGAGAAGAAGCATAGGACGGGAAAAAAAAATCACCCACAAATTAAAGAAGAGAGTTAGAAAAAAAAAAAAATACCTTACAGAGTTTTAATACTTTATGAATTCTGATACCTTTTTAAGAGTTTCAGATTTGAAGCTGCTGTGACAGGTTTTGGCTGTTTCACGCCTGTGTACATATCCTGCTCTTTCCTATTTTGCAGATTTATTACTTGTAAATAGACACGCATCAAGGAGAGATTAAACATGTTTTTTGCTAAATCTGTCTCGTCTGATGTTTTTATTCCCATTTCCCATCCCTATACATACCCTGTGGAAGTTGTAGCAAGTTTCAAGTAAATCTAAGTGCATGTCACCACAAGAGAACTTTAGAACGATCAAAAGCAGCCCATGTGAGGCTTAAATATCATTGTACTTTATTCATTCTTGTAAAACTGCTTCTGTTTGATTTCCCTTCTTCTAACCAGTGAAGTTGATGTGGACATTGACAAAGAAAAGAAAGAAAAAGATAATAAAACCCTACTTTTCAGACTAAACTGTCAGAAATGTCTGCATGAAGCGAGACAGGTAGACGCAAAGCTCAGTCTCAAGAGTACAATCACTCATCCGTATCCACTGAATTCCTGATCCATGTCAAAAGACTGAAATTGTCCCAGTGAGTGCCATACCAGCGAATCCTTAAATCACAGTCAGGTATGAGTGCTACGTAGCAGTAATGAAGGCAGTGTGATAGAAAATGTGCTTCAGACTGAACCTGTTCCATTTTGTGATGTATTTCGAAAAGTTTAGGAAAATACAGCAAGATGGAAGAGTTGATGATAACAAAATAAATAAAAGATGTTGGTATATTACCCTGTAGTCTACTTTTGTGGACTGTCTAAAATCAGATTTAATTGCAACGTCAATTCCATAACGCAATTTTCATAGTTACACGCATTGACTTATTTGTCACGTAACATCACAACGTTATTTTAACCAAAATCCTTATATTTTCCAAGAAAGAAATGTGATGCCTTAATCTAACCAAGTACTGTAGGCTAGTTAAAAAATAAATATTTGCATGACACAAGAAATGTATATGTGTTGCTGGGTTTTGCTAAGAGTAGGAGTACGCCTGAAATTTAGTCGGCATATCTTTGAAAAATATATTACATTTTAAATGAAGATACGTTTCCGCCCAGATGAAAAACATATTGTTTAGTGATTAACAATCTATTGTGAGTTCAGACCATCCTCAGTTATAGTGATTTATATTAAAGAGGCCCTATTGTACTTTATTGTACTTTTTGGGGGGTTTCCCCATATACAGTAGGTTTCTTGGCATGTAGCCTATATGGTCAGCAAAGGCTAAAATCCTAAAGTTCCCTCCAAAGGAACTTTTCTCCCACAAAAAAGAGGTGTTGCAGCACAGGCAGTATAAGAAAAATAAAGCACTTGTTTGAACATTAAAGCATGTAAACAGTAGAGGCACAAAATACAAATATGGACCTGGAAATTAGCATAACACAACATTTTATTTTTCCTTCCAAGAGTAAATGATATCAAAGTAGATCAAGTCCCGATATCTCCCCGCGTCTCTCAGCCTGTCCATCGCAAGTTAGAAAATGTAACATTTAAATGTGTCAAACCCTCCCCTCGGGAACAAGGCCATTTGACAGGCAACCCATCAGTCAAATTAAAAAGTCCATTACAAAAACATAAAGAGGAAAGATTCAGACCTCCTGAGAGGATGTGTCCTGGATATCACAGACACCGCGTGTATGTTCTGAAGGGGATTGACCTCCCTTTATCCTCCTAAGTGCCATTTGTGTTCTACCTGTTGGGCCATTTCAGACTAACTCTTATTGCAGCCCCTGCATGGTGACTTTGCATTTGAAATGTTTCTCTTATCTCTTTGTTTCCTTCTTCTCTTTCCTATCTCGGAGCTGTTTCCCTCTCTATACTATACTCTGCTACTTCAGAGAAACATTGAGTAAGTTTCCGCTTGAGTTTCTCTCCCACCCCTTTTCTTCTCTCCATCCTCTCCTTTAAATGTGCCTCTTGCATATTACCCAGATTCCCTGCTGTAGCACTTGTCACAGTAGGTACTAGTAGAGCACAGCAGTGGTTAGATAAAGCTACGGGTTGCACACATCTCTCACAGGCAGCAGACACCCCCTCCCATCGCATGCAGCCCATATGTCTGACTTCATATTCAAATATCTCAGGGCATCAGATTACCATGTTTGAATTGTGCTTGTTGTGAAGAATCACTTTTTTATTGTCCTCTTCTCCCTCTCTGTTTGTGCGCCCTGAGGCTTCTCTGGCAATTCAATCACCCCGACCACTCAACACAAACACTCGGCCGTCCTCTAAAATGCCTCGACACAGAATAAACGATAACGTCACATTGGCTTTGGCCCCACACCGCCGACTCTCAGCTGGAGATTAAGCTGCGATAAGACTCCTCTGTTTCTCCAGAGGGGAGAAGAGCATTACAGATGGGCGAGAGGAAAGAAAAGATAAGAGTAAAAGCAACAAGAGGTAAGAGAGGGAGCAGGTAAAGCAGGATAGAAGCTGGTTTCCCTGGGAGGAGGTAGCAGGTTAATTATACGTCATTCTGTCTTTACGAAGCCACAGTAGATGAGGATCAGCAGGGGAAATAAGAAGATCAGAATCAGGGCAGCAGACAGTCACGTCCACTCCGACTGTTTCTTCTCCGTCAAATGAATGCACAGCTAAATTGGGACTGTGTGGTGCATGTCTGGATGTGCTGGAGAACTAACTAAATGTAAGCGAGCTTGAATGCATTTAAGTAATCACTGATTCCAAAGGCAAAAAGTTACTCAACCTCATTATGACATTAGCTCCTGTGTCTGACAACTCTGTTAAGTAAATAAGAAAGTGTTATATATTCCTGATGTGTTTGGAAGAAAGACTCTTAGTGGGAAATTAGAATTTAACAAAATCCAAAGATGAAATCCTTTCATGTTCCAAGACTCCTCTAAATAGCTCATTCCACCAAGGAAGTTGTGCTTTTGTTGAATTAGTTTGTTGGTTGTTCTCTTTGTTTATCTGTTAGCAGGATTATGGAACTACTGGCCCGATTGTATTGTGACTTGTTTGAAAGGTGGAGCATAGTTAAAGGGAAAACACAAATTGGTTGGTTCAAAATGTACATTTTCAATGCAAACAAATGTTATTCTAAAGGAAAGGAAAATCTAGAACCGAAAAAGCCAACATTAACTGTAAAGGGGTCGTGAACTCCTAACCACCTCCTCTTTCTTACTTTCAGTCTTATTTATTGCAGAATTGTCCACTACCAACAGAATGTTGTAACACTGTCCAGGATTGATGCATCTTACATTTATCCACAATTTCACACTTGTATATTAAATCAGCAGTGAATCACTTGAAATAATCTGTAGGGGTGTCCAATGAGAAACAAGACAAAATACATTATCCACTTTTTTCGCTCATGCTGGCGCCGTAGCTCTGGGGAGAAATACCTGTCAGTGGGTGTTTCTCAATGTCGAGTAAAGCTGCTCCAGAGCCACTATTTCAAGCATACTACGTCATCGAGTGCCGCCGAAGGACTGTTCCAATGTCCAGCATACTTGGAATTCTACCGAGCCCGGCGTACTTCTTTTGGAGAAATGTCGAGGCTGCACATGTGTAGACTCCGGTCTTAAAATCCCCACAATGCTTTGCGCACGGACCAATTTCCCCAAATCTGTGGCGGAAAATGTAAGGCGGGGCCTCTCACATGAAGCACACCAGCACACTTGCTAGCCTGTTCCACTCTTCGTTTTCCGAATGCCAGGAAGTATTCTTGCATCGCTTCTGAAGCAAGTGACTCGGAAGACATGTGCTACCAAGCAAGCGCACTCGACATTGAGAAACACCCAGTATGTTGGTCAGTCCACCATACAAATATTGCATCAACTGTGAGATGGATTGCCATGAAATGTTGTATAAATGTCCATGGTGCCCAGAGGACACATTGTAATGACTTTGGTGATCTAATGACTTTTCATTTTAAGGTTGACACAAGTTGAGTTACATTGAGTTACATTTCTCAACAACTCTTCAATTGCCATGAAATTTGGTACAGACATTGATATTCCCCTCAGGAGGAATTGTAATAACGTTGTTGATCCCGTGAACTTCTCATCTGGTCAAAGGTTTAACTTTTCCAATGACTTGGTTTATGACCATATACCTGCAAGACATTCCCTTCAGCCTCTGCTGTACTTTGTGCGAAGTTCACGAAGTGTAGCACCCTCAAACCATGCTATAATTCATGTGTATTACATTCTTTCCTGATTTTTAAACAAAATCCCTAAAATAACATGTTTTTTTTATAACATTATATTGACAGCATGTATGTATAGGCTGATATTCATACCAAAATAGGCTATTTTTGGTAATTTAATTGGTACAAAATAAGTAATTATATGTGAAATCAGACATCCTGAGCATACATAGCCTGATCGGACCATGAGATTGGCTCTCAAAATATGCCACATAGATCAAAGTATCGAAAAGGGCTACTTTCTTGTAGGTTGGATATGAGACTAAATGTAGTTCTTGGAAATATGTTTGGCATATCATTTTTGGGTAATTACAATCAGAACCTTATTATAACCTCCTCCTTAAAGGTGGGTGTTAAGGCTGTACAAAGGTGTGGAATTAAATGCACGATGCAGAGACAAACAAAGTATCAAAATAAAGTGTTTTAATGTAATCAGGTAACAACACACTGAATACATAAAGTAACAAAACAAACACTCAATAAACTGTCTAACCCAGTGGTTCTCAACCTTTTTACACCAAGTACCACCTGAGAAAATAGTTGGCTCTCCAAGTACCACCATATGACCAATGTTAAAATACAGTCTATGTACAGTTCATGCAGGACTCGGAGGCAAATGTATTCATAATAACATTATTTATTGTCAGCAACAGCTACTTGTACAAAGGGCAGTCCCTCTCCCTCTCCCCCTCACTCAACACTCACTCACTCACACACCACAAGTGAGAACATAAATATGGAAGCAAACAAGAGACAGAAGTATTTGAATTTTATTAGACACCGAATTTATAGCATTGAAAATAATTACTTTGAAAATCATGTATCTGAATGTGTTTGCTCCGAATTTACCTATATGAAATACAAATGTAAAAATTCAAGTGAAAAAAATTTGAATGTTGAAATTCAGATCCCAAAAATTCAAGTGAAAAAAATTCGACGTCAAAAAATTCGGTGTATACAATTCGATGTC